GGTATTGCGAGTGACTGCACTGACATTTGTCACCATGGTTGCAGTTCCCCTTGTTGAAGTGGAAGTGACAAAATGTCTTCGATGGGTCTCTGGCAGAAGGTGATCTTGATCTCCGATTGCCCTTGCCGTTGCCCTTGCCATGACTCCAGGCTTACCTTTGGGTGCAGGAGCACTCGGTTTTCCGGTCTTACCATCTTTTGGATCAGGTGCAGGTGCCACTGGCTTCGGAGCAGGAGTTGTTGGCTTGCCAAGGTTCGTATAGTCAGTGGCGAATTTGTCTCTGGCTGCCATGTTCTTGTCCTTGCGCACTCTTGCGATGTACCTCTTCATGATTTCCAAGAGCTCTTGATAGTTCTTCTTCTTGTCATCCTTCTCCCTGCTCTTGAAGATTGCGAGGTCAACGTGAAGTGCCTGAGAACCTTCAATCTTTCTCAGCAGGTGATCACGCAAAGTGACCTCCGAGGGAATGTCCTCAGGCTTCATGTTAGCAATGATCTCAAGCCAAGCGTTGAGGAACTTGTCCATCTCCTTGTCCCCTCGGTATTGCAGCCTGCAGATGTGACTGGCATTGAACAAGACTTCATCCTTAGATGTTGTCCTGAAATGATCAAGAATCATGGCAAAAATCTCTATGCCCATCAGGAAATTCCCTTTCTTCCCAAGCTCTTGGCTCCTCTGCCTTATTTGACCTTCACTTCATATGCAATCTCGCTTGCAGCATCAACCATGTTCTGCAGAGCGATTGACAACTTGGAGTCCACAGATTGGAATGAAATCCCCTGAGTCGGACAACAATGCGTAGTCAGGATCAGGTAGTTGAGCAGGAGCAAGCCATGTCCTCCACGACGCCGTGTCTGGGCCACCTGAAGCGACACAGACGGCCTGAAAGACGTTTGATCGCCAAACGTCAAGGTCTTGACATTTCGGCCATGGCTTGACAGTAATTCTCTCATGCTCTTTCCTCGAGATACGAGTGATCCAGTCTCTGAAGTCTGGTACCTGGTACCTGCTCTTCTACGCCTACACTTGCATCTTGGCCATTTTGACGGTCCCAAAGTCCAGGTGGGTTTTCAGGAACAGGATCGGGGGCTTCGTCATTCGTCCCTCTCAATGTCTCCTGTCCATCTTCCACCTGTTGTAGCCAACTCTGGTACTCTCTCATCTCGTCGTAATGACGTTGGGCACGAGCTTCGGCCTGATTCAGTTCTTCTCGGGGTTGGTCAGTCTCGTTAGTGGCCTGTCCATTACTACCAGTAGGTGCTGGAGGTGGTAGTTGAAGTAATTCATGACCACCACTGATGGAAGGAGCCTTTGGAGTTCCTCCCACGACCAATCCTGGTGTAGCAAAAAATGGTGTCTTCGCCTATGTCAATGGGATCATTGGGCACAATGATGTAGGTGGAAATGTCGAAGGTGATGCTGGAACCGGAGTCACTGGTGCAGCAGCGGATGATGAGGGTCTGGATGCCAGTCTCCGATTCGCTTCTTGGAGCTCAACATAGAGTGTAGCATTCTTCCTGACCACTTCATCCCGCTCCTTTGCCACCATGTCGTGCATCTTCTTCCATCTTCCAGCTTCATCCTCTTCCACGTTGAGCAGTGCCTCTGACAGTTTGGGATTTGATTCGACACTTTCTTGTAGCATCTTGAGGTCCATGTTTGCCCTTCGGAGTTCATCTTGTAGATCTTCAATCACCTTCATGTTTTGTTCATCACCATCGTCTTTGGCACGAGCACGAATCTGTTCCGCAATCCTCGGTCGTAGGTTGCTGTTGATCTCAATCAAGTTGACATTCTCGTTCTTAAGCTCGTCCATAGCGTTCTCCAAGCTCATCTCCCTATCGATCTGCAGTTGCTTCTCCACGTAATTCTTTTCGCTCAGCCAAATCCCTTTCAATTCTTTCAAGCTTGTACTCTCTGTCGGCAACCTCGGCCTCGTTGATCTCCCTCAGCTGTTGCATCTCGAATTTCAGATTGTCGGCCTCCATCGCACTGAGCATGGATCGGTGCCCATAATCGTCCGCAATCAGCTTGATGCGATCAGCCTGATCCCTGATGCGATGATCTTTCTGCTCGATGATCTCATCCTTCTTCACCAGGCTCTCCGAAAGCTCGTTGATGGCCGCTTTCATCTCTGCCACATGTTCATCACGAAGTGCGACTGCTTGCCGTCCATGTTCCACGACCATCTCATTGTTCATAATCAGTTCCTGAGAGTTCACCTGAGGATTTCTTGTTCGCCTTCTCCCTGTCGTTGACATACTGTGTGCATGCCTCGCGTAGTTGTAGACCACTTTGTCGGAATTGTCCAGCTGTCGCCTCAGATTGTTCTTGTTGTTCACGAATCTGCCGAACTGCACTCTCCAACTCAGTGTGATAGCGTTCCCTCATCGCAATGCTCTCCTGAATGATGTGGGCGGTACCTTGTTCCGCAAGTTCTCCACGTCTCCCAAGCTCGATGATTCTCATCCTAGAACCTTCGTCATTGAGGTGAGCCTCAGCCAGCGCTTGGGATTGTTCATTCAACATGTTGTAGGCATTGGTAAGGGAAGCCCTCATGTACTCCATTTCCGTATTGACATGTTCCTGATATTCTTCATGATGTTGATGAGAATAGACTTCTACATTGTGAATCATCTGATCACGATGACTGAGAACATCTCGATACAGTTTCAATCTGCCCTCAAGTTCAGCCGTTGTTCACTTCGATCCAGTTTCTCATTGCTATGCTGAAGTTGACGTCGTAGCCGAAGTTCACCTTCATTCCTGGTCGCTCTACCTGAGGGTTTGCGTTTGGATGAGGCCACTGAACGGCAGACCTCATCCTCACGCGTGGCCACGGCCGCCGGACCGAAGCCACTTGCATCCTCAATGGCAGCTGATGGTCGTCGAGATCGTTGGGATCTCGCTGACGTCGACCATCTGGCACTTCCTCTGTTCGACGTAACGCTGCTTACCTTTGTGAAGTTGGTTGTAGACGTGCCACTCCCAGGTGCCACATATGATACTGTACCACCACCACCGCTCTCCACGGATCCTGGCATGTCGTTGATTGCCGCCGGTCCCGCAAAGGAGTAGCGAGTCTCGTTGCTGCTTGACTGTGGTTTCTGAGACATTGCTCTGGCTTCACTGCAATGGTTCACTTCCGTTTACTACAGTCCAACGACTTGTAGTAGGTCAAGTAGGGCAGGATAGTCAACGTCCAAGTCAATGATCGCTTCGCCCACCGGAGTGGGGAACCAACCAACCAGGTAGGTAGGTGCGCTCTTTTAGCACCTTGCCATCGGACTCTTCCGCGTTTAGAACCACCGTACGCCCTGGGTAGAGCGTACGGCTGATACCCTGTGAGTGGATTCTGGCTCCACCTATGCTCGTGTACTCTTCAATGTCCACCTCCACCAGAGCTGCGCAACGCCAAGCTCCTTTTCCTCGCTATCTGACCGTGGATGTCTTGAGCCATGCAGCGGAATATACAGTGTTGTTGATATCCTCTGCAGGCAGTGTTATGGTTCTACCGTGGGTGGCCTCTGGCTTATATCCCTTTCACATATATATATATACACACACATAGACATACTGGTCCTGGCATCTATGCATTCAGAATCATTTAAATATATACCTGACGCACATATCATTGCAGCTTATCCACAACAACATTTCTTGCAAACCATGTTGAGCCAATTGTCTGCAGCATGGTTTTCCTCGAATATCTCACAAGCAAAGAAAAATAAAGAAAACCACATGGCTTTGCAGAATCCACTCTCAGTCTGTCCATGGGCATTTGTCAAGATCCATGTATATACTCCCAAAAATCAAAAAAAGGCAATCCTTGTGGGAAAGCCACTTGTTTTTTTGGTATCCTGTACAAGATTTATGGATAACCCTATGTCTCGTGTCTGCATAGACCAGTCCTGACTCCACATTGCAATGGCTCTAGCATTGTCCTGCCGAGGCAGCCCCAGTCCCTCAAATCCCAAGCAGAAACCACGGGACCGATAGTTACAGCGCCAGCACCAGCCAACACGGTATTAAATGTATGGGGAAATTGAGGAATCGGTAGGCCCTTCTCTTACAGTAGCTGGGTCAAGAAGCTAAGGGGAATCTAACATTATGTGATATTACGTGGCTGACAAAACCAATCAGACCGATAAATTTACTGATGCTCTTTGATCAAGTTTGAACCATCATTGAATGAATTGAATGGGTGTTAGTACCCAGGCCCCTTTGAGGGAGACAGTGGAGGATGGATCCAGCGACTTGCTTTTCTCGCTGAAAAGTACGGAGAAAGGTCGGGATCAATGGACCAGAACAGGACATACGATGCACAATCCAAAGCATGGTGCGCGTGTCACAAAAAGCCCAACTTTGATTTTGCTTTGGCTTCTGACCTCCTGATCAACCAGCATCAACGCGTCAACTTATCATAATGTACAGGCCCATACTGGCTGGCAGAGTTCCCCCAGCTCGTCCTCTCAGGAGGAAGGCCACCAACATCGTGATCAGTGGCCACCAGGTTTTCCAATGCCCAGGTCACCAGGTCAGTCTCTCATCCAGCCACGCGCCTGTCGGGATCATCGCCTCACCCATCGACCAAAGGTCAAGATGATGAAGCTGCGGGGGACACGATCTCCGATGTCCCATGGCATCTCTGCATGGATCTAGAATGATGTAGAATGATGTAGAATGATGTAGATGCTCGAAGAAAATGTATGACTCATTGCGACACAAAGAGTCAAGTAAAGTAGGATCCCCACAACTGAATCCATTTTCATCAGAATTGAAAGTGCACTATGTCGTGCAACCAAGTATGCCAAATAATCCAAACTTCAATGGAGGACCCCAACCCTTGCAAGAAGTTTTTCAATAAAGACCTGACGCTTGTGCACAAATGCATCAGGCTTCAAGTATCCTCGAACCTTATTCTTTATCGCGAAGTTTGGACCAGAGTGTCACCTCCGTGTTGCTTTGCAACTTGCACGCGCTGACACAGCTTCGGGATCTTATGTGGTTGTAACGAGCCTATGTGTTTTAGAAACTTTGGAAGCAGTGGCTGTCTGCATCTGTGTGCTGCGGTTGTCTTCTGTGAGGCCAACCTTCACACCTTTCCAGTGACTTGAGGCTACGTGCGAGGAGCATAAATCAACATGATGGCATACCATCACATACTGTGACAGACATGTCACATGTCTATTTCGCTTGTATCGGCTGGGTAGCTCTTTTTCATCAAAAGCTGCCGCACAATTGTCCAGCAAGGCTGTGAAACCGCGACCTTTCACATCAGGAAAAGGCATGGAAGATTCATCGCCCCAGCCTGTCCACAAAGCCCCAAACCCTCAGACTGCCCACGCTTCCCTTCTGAGAAAGGACCTTGTCTCTTACATCAAGCCGTTGTACAATACACTATTACCATCTATTACCTATCCTCCCAGCTGTGTGTGATGTGCATCTAGGATCATCTAGGTATCTAATGGTAGCTAGTTTCTTTCAGAGACATCCCCAGCTTTGCATCGTCTCCGTCTTCCCTGCCTTCGGCTTGGTGCGTTGTGAATTCCCGTTGCACCCAAGGCATGCTGAAGGACGTGCCCAGGAGGGAGGCCGGGATGGCCGGGATGGCTGGGACGGCCGACACGGCCGACACGGCCGACACGGTCGACACGGTAGGGGCCGGAGACGGTTCGACCGCAGCAACAGCTGCAACGGCTGCAACGGGTGGCAGCTGGGGCTGAGAAGCTGGCAGGGCTGGTGCAGCACCTGCAGCACCTGCAGCACCTGCACCGGGGCGCATGGCCTTCAGAACGATGGCTTTCTCCTCAAACTCAAACGAATTGGATCGAATTGGATGCGTGGTGTGCATGCCAATCACTACGCTCACACGAATGCTTGGTCATGTTTCATCCATGCAAATATGTCTAATGAACATCATGATGAACATCATCACTACCATGGGAAAATATGTGGCAAAACACTCTGGAGAGTTTGAAACCAATTTTGGTCCAACTGTATCCAACTGTCCTCTTGAAATTCCTCTGGTGTTAAAAGGCCTTCGTCCAAACATTCCTTCAATTCTCGCAGTCGAGCTTTCAGACTCACAGTGCTCCCAGCAGCCGGACTTTGAGGATGTTGGGGCGATTCAACCGGATGCGTCAGCTGAGGCTTTGAGAACATCTCCCCGAAACTTTGGGAAGTTCTTGAGCTCAGCTGGCACTGTTGCTTTTCCTGTCGATGTGTCTTCTTCGGACTTTCAGACTTGGCTTTCTCCGCGCTCTGTGGCCTGGATAGCACCGCACCTGCTGCCAGCAGAGATGACGACGAAGGTCTTTTCTGCATCTTCTCCAAAGTGCTGCTGGACTTGGACGTGCTCAAGGTGCTGCTGATGCTGTGGCCCCTGGACTCCGCTTTCGGAAGGCCCTGGCCGCCCTGGCCCTGGCTTCGTTTGCTCCCGAGACCCGGTTGAGTCGGTTTGCTCGGCTGACCCGGTTGAGTCGGTTGAGTCGGTTGAGTCGGGGGACGCGGCTGCCGCAGGGCGCTCGACTTTGGCGCCAAACTGGGTTCCATGTCCACGGCCGAGGCCCAAGTGGATTGTTGCTCTCCGCCTCAAGAGGGGTTAGAACGAAATCAGTTTTGTCTTCCAATTGTTTTCTTTGTGTTTCTTCGTTTGTCATTGTTTCTCTGCACTTTCCATTGTTCAAGGAATGATTTTCCCATGAGTAGGCTCACTGCCCGTTTTCAACTGCGGCCCCCCACTTGTTCGACAGGTGGAAGGCGCCGCTTCACTTTCGACACTGGAGCAGTCACTCACTAGGACGGACCACGAGGGCGGCACGAAGGAATCCAACTGCTCCAAGGCGTTCGCGGGCGCTTCCTCCAGTGAAACCTTGCGCAGCTCCACATGGTCTGCAGCGGCATCCAAATGAACCAATAAGAAGAGCCTCAGATTCTTCCAGCATGATGGGCATGTGGCGAAGTGAATCAGCACAGTGAGAAGTTGAAGCGATTGCAAGTGATGTCACTGATGTCTGATGGAGCTCGTCACAGGTTGTCAAATGTGTGTGTTTTTGTGTTCGGGCTCTTCCTGTCAACAAAGCGAACACATCATATCACCATCTCATGTATAAATGTGCAGAATTGCCCATATCATTGCATATTATGTACACAATTTGATGATAATTGATGATAATTGATGTAACAGTTACAACGGTAGAGGAGAAAAAACAAGCTGTCCCTCTGTCCCTGATACAAGTCGAGTCACGGCTCCCGAGTTGGTGATGCCATGGCACAGCTGCCCTCGAGAACACGATTTCGCAGAAAGGCCACCGACCATCGGTCCTGTGGTGTTCACCCACCAAAACATGCGGATGTCACAGAAAAAACACTGAAAAAAAAAGCAGAAAAAATCATCATGTCATAACCATCTCAATCTTTGCAGTGAAGAGTCAGCATCCACAATGACTCCAATAGCATCGCCCTTTGCCATGAAAGAGAAGTCTTGCACCACCTACACGGCGACTGGTAATAACTGGGGGATGAACAATTGCTTCTGCTTGAACCTGCATTGCTGCCTTGTTGTTGATCTGCAAGCCAGCTTTCAAAGCCTTTCGACTCGCATCCATCCGGCCAGAGTAGTAGCCTTGAGGTTTGAAACACAGCCCAAAATATCACATCATCAGAGTATATCAGAATACTATCAACATTTTTTATCAATATTTCCTATCAAGTAGTACTATGTAGTACTACACTGCGTTTTGTTGTGGCTGTCAACAGCTTTCTTCAACACAGCCATGACAGCCGGCGTCGCTGAGAGCCCAGCACCAGCCGCGCAAGTTGTGACCAGCTACCAGGGCACCAGCCTGAACTGCATCCGTTGTCACGCCAACCCGGAGCTGATCGCCTTGGCCAACGGACAAAAAGGCCAACGGGCCAACGGGCCAACGGGCCAAACAGATCTGTTTGACTGGATCGAAAAATTGCGGCTGAAGGAGATGATAGCAAAAGATATTGTAAATTCTATAGGATATATATATATTTGAATGAAACAAAATCGGCAATGATCTTCAAATCTTGTTTGCGATGTTGTAGATTCAAGGGGCTGAAGTGGCGGATGTGGAACTCGTAGAAATGTCTGCCATAGAAGATCGGTCGACATGTCAAGGCTACGCAGTGGTCGGCAAACTGGTCAGACACGAAGGTGACATGTTCACCTGCACAGCTGCCATGTGAGCAACGGGGCGCAGCTGCAAAGCCAAGACTGGTTTCCATGCGGAAACCATTCCGATGCATGCCAGGCACAAATAGGCACAACACACAATTAGCACAATTAGCTGGTATTTTTCTGAGGGGTGACCTATCCTCTACAGTACCCAAAACAGACAATATGATGTTGGATAGTCGCAGCAGAACAAGGCTTCACAATGCTTCAGCCCCGCCTTGAATTGAAAGGAATCGAATATCCGGATTATTGCTATTCCAAGTTCCTCGTTCCCTTTCCGCCTGCATCTTATGTTCTGGAAACATGCAAAAGTGAGCCGGGACTTTTTTGCCAAAGCAGGAACAACAACAGTTTGACAACACTTCACTTCTCAAAAAAGTCAAAAAACATTCCGATTATTTCAAATGTATGTGTACATAGCTAGGTTGATATTATTGATTCATGTTGAAGATCCGAAGCCGGTGAAGCGCTCCTCACTGCCGGATTCGTCGCTGTCTAAGGCCAACATCCTTCGCTTCTTGCGCCTTCCATAGGCAACTGGAAAGTGATGGAAAAAACATGGAAAAAGTGCGGCCAAGATCAAAACCGACCGAGTTTCATTCCCAGATTTGCGTGCCAAAAAAACGGAAGCCCCTAAAATCAAACGCAAGAACAGAACATATTGTGTGGGAACAGCGTGCTGCCGAGTGACATCATTTTAGCTTCTTTGGCTGCAGCTTTCTTGGCTTTCCTTGCTCGTTCTGCTGCCTCCTGCCGCTCAAGCCGGGCTTGAGCATCCAAGCCTTGATGCTCTAAGGCCTCTCAAGGAAGCGAGCCGGCAGAGGTCAGCAAGGATGTGGACAATGTGGTTAAACGATTTTAAACGGTTAAACTTGGTTAAACAATATGATATAAACCCAACTTGGAAGGATTTGTTGACTGGATCTACCACACTCCGATTTTGCTCCACATCTTTCGGTCCTTTTTCTCCCGCAAAAAATGTCAGAATGGGTGCCTCGATGCGCTTGGCTTCCGCTTCTTCTGCTCTGCGTACCTCCCGACGAGCCACTGCGGCGGCTTCTTTGGCCTGCTGTTCTTGCACGATTCGCTTCGCCTGCGGAATCCAAGGAAGACAATGCAGGTGGCCGGACTTCACCAGCTATGGACTGAAGATGTTCTGTTAGATGTAGTTGATATTAGTTGATGACGTATTCCATGGATAAACGGGAAAAAGAAGGAAAAAGTGGAAGTGGCCGCCTCTTCAACTCGTTGTTGCTCCAACCTAGCCAGCTCCAATCTCGCCAGCTCCTCCTGTGTTTCATGGCAGTGCCACTGCAGTCTGGAACCATGAACGTGACTTTCAGCACAAGCAAATCCATAGAAGACAAAAACATGCACATCTGGCCCAGAAACTGTCATGCCCAGAATTAAAAACAACCAGGCACATACCCTGACAGTTGCCGATTGTCATGTCATGTCATGTCCTTCTGTTCCTCTTCTGCTCGTTTTCTGGTCTCCTGGTGATCTTCGGATCCCGTGGATCTACAGGATGCTACGCAATGCAAGGGGCACCTGTCGAAGCTCAGCAGCTTTCCGCTCTTCGGATTCTCTTCGTCTGTTCTCGCGTAACTCCTTCACATTGCAAAACATCGACATTCTGCAAAGGACCGTGAGGTTCAGACTGTGATCTGCTATGACTGCTATGACTGCTATGACTGCTATGATTTGTCACTATATGAGTTTCAAGCAGACAGTGGTTGTGAGTTATGACAGTTATGAGTTTCAAGCAGTGCTTCACGGCTTCTCCTGATCGAGGAGTTGAATCCTTCGTCGCGCTTCTTCTCCCGCGACCTGAAAGTTTTTGAACGAAAGACTTCTGTGCCATGACCATTTGGCCAGGAACACCACAAATATGTTATCTGTGGAACATGTTTGGTTCATTTGGTTAGTTCTAACATATTGTAAATAGTTATAAGTTGTGGCATGTTATAGCACCATTGCCATTCACACCTGGTCATCCCGTCACCCCATAGTTCTTGCATGTTTTCTCATAGTCATTTCGTACCTCTCATGGCAACACATCAGCATTTCGGGGCCTTGGTGGGAAATTCCGGCAGAACGCCCGCAATGATGGCCACCGTCCATCCAAAGAAGGCCACCACGGCCTCTGGGTCTGAGTTTTTATAGTTTTTCAACCCTGACATGGATGACAATGGATGACAATGGATGACATCCAAAATTCCCAATGGCGCCTTGTTACTGGGACTGACCCTGTAGCTGATTGCTGTAGCTGATGGGTGAGACTGGTCAAAAAAAAACGGCTTTGAGTTTTGACTCTTCACCAACTCTCCGGCAACACGAGGCCTGGCCTTACTTGCCCACCTCACTCGGTCAGGTGTCAGAGGTTCTTCGCCGGCAAAGTACCTCGCACCCAGTCGCACCGCTTCCTTCAATCGAGAAGTTACCCGAGCCTTTTCGACGTTGACGTTACATGATATATATATATATACATGTCACATGAGCGTTGCATGATCTTGCAGGAATCGCTCTTTGTTCAACCCGTTCAACACTCTTGTGACTTTGAGCTCACTTCCGGCAGACGTAGTCAATGAGCTTCGCTTGCTGAAGCACTCCATCCAGATTGATGCTCCGGGCTCGCTTCAGGAAGTCAATCCGAACCACGGTGCGCAGCACATCGTTCCAGTCGCACGCCAAGGAAGTGGGCTGCGTCAGCAGCAGATGGACCACCTCCATGACTCGCGCCACTTCACGCGGCGGATGTTTCAAATGTTTCACCTCTTCGATCTCTTTGTTGGTGATATCTGCCAGGGGATGCAGCTCCGCATCCTGCAGTTGTTCTTCAGATGGTCAACGAATGGGGAAAGGGTTGCAAAAAATATCAAAATAATTCACAATATAAAATATCATCATTCTACATCTGTAGCTTCCTTTCTGTTGATGTCATTGATTTCTTCCAAAATGTTGACGACATTTGAAGACACATTAGAGACAGTAGAGTGCCTCCGCACCAAACTCAAGCGGTTTCCACGGTCCTCGCCACCAGCTCGGCGGACGGCAGCAAAGACCTGTGAAGGATCGTCCATGGCACCGCTCGACCATGGCGACTCGACCTTACTCAACCTGTAACGGAAGCCTGGAACCCTTGGTTTGGGTACGTCTGGTTGAAGTTTGTGAAAGGTTTGGGGAAATGGTTGCAGCTGTCCTTTGGTGTGTATGAACCTGGGGCCCCCCCAACCACATGTTGTAGCTTCAATTCTTTGATTCTGTTGCTTGCAACACTTCTGCCTCAGCCAAACTTGCTTGACGAACCTTTCGCTTTGTTTTGGTAGTTATGTAACTGTACATTACTGTACATTCATGTGCCTCACGTGAGCCACGAGAGCTGCAAATATTCACAGCTACAGGGCGCCTTCAACAGATCGAGACAGTCTAAACGAGTTGAACCATCCAAGGTGACACGCCAAAGCTACGCATCCTTTGTTTATCTCACCGCAAAATGCCCGTGGTCGGATCCACACCATGGAATCGAGGATCCACGTCTTCGTTGAACATGGGACAGCTGTTGGGACCTTCCACGGTGAAGCTTCGCTCTTTCTTCTTGCGGCCCTGGCCATAGGCCCGGCTGCTGATCTTCAAACGGGCGCCACAGGAACAGCTCATTCCACGGAAGGATTTGTTGTTTTGATAGTCCCACATGGTGGATTCAACACCCCATTTATGGCCGACACCTACTCCTGGGGCACCAAGGGTTTCCTCCTTTCCTTCCGAGACAACTTTGGCCCCTCCCAGGTCTTTCGGATGTTCAGGTCGTTCCGGCCGTTCCCCCCGTGCAATGGATTCCAACAACTCTCGCGCGCTTTCCTCCGCCAGCGGGTCGTTTTCGAAGTAGAAGACTTGTGCATCCGGATGCCTGGCACGACCTGCACCTTGCACATGGCTCTTGGCGCTGCTGAAGGAGTCGTAGCGGATCACATAGCGACAGGAAGGTACATCCAACCCCTCCTCCAAGGAAGATGTGGCAACCAACAAACGTGTGTCGCCTTTGAAGGAGGCCAAATTCGATTGCCTGGTTGGCCCATCCATCCCTTGAACCCCTGCCACATGCAGAGCCAGCACACCCAATCGAGAAGAGATGAGCCGTGCCATGCAGCAAGCTACGGAAACGCGTTCCACGAAGACTAAGATCTTGTCCATTTGTCCATCGAGAAGCTGCTGAATCAAATTTAGTAAAGTTAGACATTTTCCAGTGATGTATTGCTCCACTTGTTCCACCTCCATACGTTGAAGCTCTTTCACAGAATCCACTTGCATCAGTGCAAGCTGGAAGGGTCGCACCAATGCGATGGCATTCAACAAGTTGGACTTCACAGCCTCATCTTCCATGATGGCAAGTTTGCCTTGAAGCTTGGCCATCATCACCTCCGGAAGGGCATAGCATACCTGCCGGAATTCGAACAGCCATGCAACAGGCATATGGAAAAACATGGAAGGTGAACCATCCCTTTTGCCACAAGCCATCGTGCAAAACACTGCAAGCATCTATAAAATCTATAAACTATACATCATCAGTCAGAAAATGTCATAAAGTATGATAACAATTCAGAAGAATTCATAAGACGCTCTAGGTCCGAGTCGCGAAGCCATACCACCCTGCTGGGCCTAGGGCTTCCAGCACACCCCTCAGGCGCGGCTTTTCACTCTCCAGGACTTTCTGGAACTCCCAGTTGGAACTCATTTCGTTCTGCAAAGCAGTGGCACCCAACTCACCAAACGACGTGCCCAGCGCACCCGGATCACCCACGTACGGACTGCCTCGTTTGTTTCCTTTGTTCGCATCCTTCATCTCAGCCAGGGCTCTTTCCAGCTTCTGTTCCAATGCTGCCATCTCCTGAAGTCCAAAACTCCGGCCAGACCAGGGCACAGCGAAGAAGCGAACGGACGCTCCAAGTCCTCCCTGCACCTGGACACACGGGGTTGGTTAACATCCAGGAAGTCTTCAGATCCAATGATCACGAAACAGCTTCTTTTGTCATCAGCTGCACTTGACACATCTGACACCCAGGAAGAAGAGAAACAAAACATGACGTGCGCGACGTGCACCTCCGGGCAGTGGACTTTGGCATTCAAAAGCTGCTCCAAAGCTTCCAACCGTTGCTCACAGCCCTTAGGAACCGAGCAAGTCAGCCATCATTCACTCATCATGCTCCACTTTGGACTCCATTCACTTCCAATTTCTCAAACATAAATCTTCAGAAGCAACTGAATCCAGTTGACATCAGTTGAACTTCGATTCGATCCCTGGGCTCCCCACCATCCGGGCCCTGCCATGAAAGAAACTGGCCGTGAGCCCCAGCACACGAGGCGATGCGCCCCAGTGGCGTAGCAGCGCCATGATCTCGGCATAGGGATGTTTGCCTTAACCCATGATGCCATGATGGCTATGGCGACTTCAAATGGGGGTACCAATGGACATGGGAAGAAATTGTCAGGCGTAGTATTGCGTAGTATTGAACATTACTAAATTCCTTTCCGGTGAACAAGAAATTATGTAGAATACCCAACGCACTGAAGCTGCCAACCGCCAACCTAAGCTCAACCAGGTGGAAAAAAGATGAAACGACTTGGAAGTCGAGCAGCCCACTGCGTAATGGGCTTCATCCAGCACCACACACGCCAATTGCTGGGCTTGCAGTTGACCAGACTCCAATGCAGATCGAACCACCTCGCCGGTTGCAACCACCACCTGCCGAAACAAAATGGAGATCTAGGAAGATCTACGATGATCTACGAACCGTTCCTTTCAGTGGAAAATACAGACCTATAGCGAGTATAGCGAAAGTTCATAAGGAAAACAGAAGAAAACCAAGAAATCTTCCTTACTTGTGTTCATCATTCCTCATCAGCTCTCTTTGCTTCTCAACTCAACGCAGCCGCCAGGTGACATCGGGATGTGGAGGGCCAAGGTCGCCCACCAACAAATCCTTCAGCGAATGCGTCTTGAGATACTCCGCCTGTTGACTCACCAAGGCCCGGCTGTTGACCACGAAACAACTCACATAGCCAGGAGCTTTGAAGAAATCCAGAAGCATGCACCTACATCAAAAATCACCAAAAATCACCAGGGACAAAGGAGAAACTGCTAGGACTGCTAGGAGATATCTTGCCCAAAATGTTGTGACAGTTTCTATGAAACTATATGAAACTATGTCACTATGTCACTATGTGACTATGTCGTGAAATTATGTGAAATTGCACAGTGACAGCTGTGACAATTGGCGCCCTTCCAGACTCGACGAGGCACGCAACCAATGTTTTTCCCGTGCCCGTGGGGAGGTTCAAAATGATGTTCTCCCGCTGTGCCCTTTCCAGCGCATCGACTTGATGAGGCCAAGCCTCATAGCCTCGCAGCAACACAGCTGGCCTTCAAAGTTGCAATACTGGAAGCCAACCGTCCAGCATTAAACTTATGTGTAAGTTTCAGGAAAATGTCTCCTCTTCTTCCACTTCAATCTAATTAATGCAACTTGAGATGCCAAATTCAGGGCAGTCTGGCAGACTTAAATCTTAAATTGTCACGAAGAAACGTTCAGCAATCTGCATTGAAGCCGCATCTGCATGAAACATCAGAATCGTCTATCATGCTGATCGTTTGTCATTGTTCTGCGAGTCTTATGCTGTGAGCTACACTGCAAACGTGCCCATAAGTTATGCCCATAAGTGGAATCGATAGCTGAGTACGGAGGACTGCGGTTTGTTGCGCAAATACCGACGAAACACACAGAAACGTTCAAAACGTCTTGAGGCACTCAACATCTTCCATCCTACATGCGTAGAAAACACCCCTTGAACGGTTGTGTGAGTTGTTGCTCCAGTTTCCATCTGTTCTCTCAAATGATTTTGTGCACCGCTTGATGCAATGAAGCAGCGAAATGCAGGGAGAAAATGCAGGGAGGCAACGGAGGCAACCTGGACTCCATGAGCAAACGCCAAATAAGACCAGCAGGACTCGCCTTTTTGGAGCTCAACGCCCTGTACAACTTTGGACCTGGCTGACCTGTTCAACACCTGGCATCGCGTGCGTGGCATGACACATATGTGCTTACCATCTTTACCATCAGTATTGATGATAACTGATGATAATCGATGTATATATATATAACTATATATATATTATATAGAGATTGATGCAAGAAAATTCAACTTCAGCCTTCTGTGCCTGGCCCGAGAAAGTGAAAACCAAGACTTTAGCCAAGACATGTCGAAGGCACAGTGCAAATGCCTCGTTATTGTTTGGTTTTTTTCATTGTGTTTCACTCGCCGCCGCAGCTTCACCAGTCCTCAAATGACAGAGCAGCGCTTTGGCATCGAAGGGCGACGACGACGACTAAGCGACCAACCCTTTGTGGGTAACGACGCCCGTCTCAATGAGATAAGGAATTTCGGCTGCTAACCATGGCCCAAGCGCCTTGGATAAAGAATGAGATCCGACAAATCGAACTTGATCGAACTTGCCCATCTCTTCTCTTTGGCTAAGAACTGTGCCAAAGAAAGGGCATGGCTGATGCCAAACTTGGGCACATTTGCCCTGCAACGCGGTGATACAACATAACGGCAGCGATGTTGCATACCGTTGTGGCACTGCCTGAGCTTTGCAAAAACATGCAAAAACACATGGACCATCGACCTCCAAAGGGGCGCAAAATGGATATCCAAGCAGATCTTCCCACCTCGGTACCTTGGAGTGGCAAGAATCGTGTCTCACCTCGACCCCACTGAAAGCTGGAAACGAAGCCACCTCAGCCGGTGACATCTTTGGCGTCTTGCCATCCAGTTCGGGAAGTTCCTGGCGCTCTGGGACTCTGGAACTGGAGCGACAAGTGTCGGATTGTGTCGGATGCCAGCAGTGAAGGTGTGAAAGCGACAAGACTGAGGCGCCAACCAGTTCAATCGGAACAGCAGGATATCCAGCAGGAATCTGGAGGGCATTCATCGCATCCACATATGAATCACATTGCAAAATACACTGCACTTCCCACAGGGCCGCAACAAACACTGGATATCACAGGATTCAGCCACATCTAGCCTCAAATTGCAGCTTGAACTCGTACTTCAGGAGGTTGTGGACATACCTCGGCTGCCCATCTCATCCAAAGTCGCTGGAATCTGATGTCCTCATCGTCTCTTCAGGCATCGGCCAGCAGGTGCCAGTCCATTTCGTCCCATCCTCGGATGATTTTGATTTGGTGGAATTGCACAGCAAAAGGATCACATCAGCGTCAGGCAGTCCCAGGCGGTCCCAGGCGGTCCTCGTTTGATTCGATCTGGAACCAGTCGTTGTCATTCTCCTCCATGACATCTCAACATCCCGTCTATGAGAACATCCGACGCAAACTGCCACGTCCGTATCCATCTAACCATCCATCAGACCATCCACCAGACCATCCATCATCTTACATGCAGTAACTTAGATAATACTAACACAATTGCTAACACTATCTAACACTAATGATTACAATAATGCTAACTCATGATGATGATCACTAAGCATTCAATCCACTCAACCACAACCTATCCACAAGACTTCCAAGCCTTGTTGATCTGGACGTATTTGATGAGCGCCGCCAACTCTTCCTTCAGGCGCTCCACCCAGTCTGCACCGTCACGTGGCCCAGCTTTCACCGTCAACAAGGGGATCTTCTGCACATCGGCCTCAACTGAAACTGAAGGGGAAACTGAAAGCTAGGTCGGTAACTTCAATTATGTACCAAACTTCACACCAAAAATGTCAATTTGAATCGGTGGAGGGAGAAAAACAAACTCTATCTGAATCTCGAATGAATTGATTGTCCATCCTTTGCCTTGGTTTTCTCATTGTACGCCATGTGCCTCGAGATTTTTCGAACAAAGGGGGTTCCTTAAACTCCATCCGGGTCAGTCCCATGTCAGTCCCATGTCAGTCAACTCAAATAACCGGGGCAGTTCTTGCCTCGCCACGCCGGATCCAAATCCAGAGCCAAAACAGCTCCGGAGCACGGGATTTTCGGATTGGACTTGACCGATTAACCATGATTTTCCACGATTATCCATGATTAACATTGATTAACATATTGATTAACCGATTAACCAAGGGTTGCAATCTCACTTGACAAGTACAGCTGGCGCAAACGGCCTAGGAGTTGTCCGTTTTTCCATGCCAAGAGATGCAAGGCAAAGATGGAGAGATCGCCCAGGTCTTTTTTCTACGCATCAAATTGTGGACTTTTGAAGCTTCTATCTGCATTGCAGGCATCTCCAAGAATTCGTTGCATGCCCGGTGCCCGGCCCAGTTGAAAACCCTTAATATTTCCAGTCAAGACATGTCAAGACATGCGGGTGAACTCAAAATGACATCGGACTAAGCGTGACTAAGCCTACTGATGCAGGGCGGACGGTCGGGCAGCAAAGAATCTGTGCTTCAGACATCACGCTTGATCGGGAGAATCCAAGCACTGCCTGAAGTGCGGAACAAAAATCCGCTAATTCAAACTTCCTGTGGCAACGTGCGCAACGTGCCTCTCCAGAATTATCCAGACATAAAAGATCACAGATCACCAAGTTCAGGTGACATGTGACCACTGTGATCCTGTGAATATTCTGTGACCATTCTGTGACCATTCTGTGACCATTCTGTGACCATTCTGTGACCATTCTGTGACCATTCTGTGACAGCGAGTAGGTCTAAACAAAGCCAACTCCCCTGATCTCTGCATGTGAGAGATGGTCGCTACCCGCAAACATGTTGCTGCTGGTGTACGCGCAACGTCTTTGTTACATCACCAATGATCGGCAGTGTCCCAAAGAGTGGTCTATGATTTTTTTTATTGATACAAATTGATATAGCACGTGTCGGTACTACTTTGCACTCTAGACTTCATCATTTTTGTGCCATTTGTTCGGAGAGAAAAAAACGGTATGCGAAACATCCTTTCTCCAGGGACAACTTCCGCATCCTTGCCCCCACTGGATGTGGCATGATGTGCGCCCCCGCACCAGGGCTTTAAGAAGCCATGGGGCCAAGGCGATCCAAGGCGATCCAAGGCGATCCAAGGCGACTAGGCACCACCCCACACCACTTTTCGAAACGGTGCCGTGGCGGCCAAGGTGTTGACTGCTGCACCTGGGAGCTGAAAATTACCCAATGATCCCAATGTCAACAGTTTTCGCGATGCAAAGTATTCATGGTCCCAGATCCAGTAGGACATTTGTTGGAAGAGAGCAAAGATGCCCCCAATAATGGGGCTGTGGCCTCTGCGAACTGTCGACACTGTGTACGCTGGCTGCTCCATTCCATCTGGCGGGAAAATCGTGTGCCATGCTGTGCCAAACAATAACCTACCATAAAATTCACAAATGCTATGTGGTTGTTTCCGAAGTGTGTTCCTGTTGCATTTTCCGGCCTCCCACATAGCTGATTCCGTGCAAGTCTGTTGGGAAAATGATGTCACCCAGGAGGCTTCGGACCTGAGCTGGTGGCTCTCACTCTCTAAGATATTCAAGCTCTTATAGATCTTCTAGTTCTTATAGTTCTTGCAACCTTTTTTCCAGCTGTCTCCACTATTTCAATCTATTTCTAGGTTTAGGTGTTTCATGGTGTTTCAAGACCGAAAGAAAGTTGGTTGTCAAAACGTTTTTCCACCTTTCAAGACGATTTGCAGCCATTTCTTCGTCAGAGTTGTCGTCCACCTTTAGGACCCTGCTGGCAATGGTAGAGAGGCTTGGCCGCTCCGAAGGTCCAAGGGGATTCCAAGGATTGCTGCATTCCGACCTGAAAAAATCACCACAGGATGCTCGACATCTGGGATCTGGGAAGATCTGGGGACATCTGGGGGGAATGACTCAATGACCTGTGTGAATGACCTATGTGAATGACTCGGAATGACCATCTGGTTGAGGATGGTTGAGGCAGAAGCGGATCCTCTTGCCCGGAGAAACTGGAGAGATGGGTGACTTTGGAGAGATGGGCGAATGTCGCGACATGGGCCTGGCTGAGTTCAGTTTGGCAGAAAAGTGGCCAGGAAAAAAGGAAAAACATGGCAGCTGGACGACAAGAGCGTGGGAGAAATGCAGCCAGGTAATCTGGCATGCATGTTCGCCTGCAGCCAAAGTTCAGAAAGGGTGATTTCCTCAGCAATTGATCACCTTCCTATACCAACGTCATATTGCGATAACTGCAAGCCCACATGGTGGATGCAAATGATGTCCTGCAACGAATCCACAGAACCTTTCAACCATGATTTTTCAACGCGAGATCGGAATCATCCGAAAACACATCCGAAACCAAGGCGACGAGGGGGACTTTCGCCCCCGCGTGCGCAGAACTGCACGGCGCCACTGTACATCTCGTCAGCGCCATGCGTCGCCATGCGTCGCCTGTGCGTCGTTCAGTCGTGATCTTCACAGCCCTGCGGCTGCACAGAGGCGTCCCAAATGTGTGGCTGGCCTGCTGCGCGGATCGCGGATTACTCAGGATGCATCGGGTCTATTTCCAAGTCAGTCACATGTGAAAACCATGTGAACACCATGGGAAAACCATGGGAAAATCCCATCTCGGCCAAAACTTCAACGTCACAGAATCCAGCTGGAAGCCCCGTCCTGCCATCATCGGGAGTCAGCAAGTCGCTGGGAGAGCCTTGCTCCACTAACTTCCCAGCATCCAGGACAACCACCTCAGAAGGTAGCTGATTGCGCTGATTCTCAAGATTTCTCAACTACCTACAGAATCCTACAGAATCTACTGGATACATCTGGATACGCTGTTGTTTTTCATTGATCAATCCATCTGGAGTCAGGGGTTAAAATTGGTAAATGGGGTAAGATGGCTGCCAAAAAAAGATCGGGTCTGAGGTAAGGACTTGTTGAAAGCGCTTGATGTGCTGCAAACGATGGCAAATCATCATGACTGTTGCCTCCAAAGACAGCACGACATCATGCACCTGGACAGTTCAGGGGCACCAGGCTGTTCCTAGGCAGCAACCTCTGCCATCAGCAATGGGTTGCTGAAAAAAAAACCTTCACACCGTGAAAGCCCCATGCAGTCCTAAGAAGCCTCTGCAGCTCGATTCTAGTGACTGTCCAACCTTCACCAACTCCCACTTCTTCACACTTTGTCACAGGTATTGATGAGATCATCAGATAGCCCCCTGGATGCCCCTGGAAAGGTCCCTTTGCATCCTTAAGAGGTTCCCAGACATGATTGACATGATCATCACCACATTTTAAGCAAAACATTTCAAAGATCTGGCCATATCTGCATATCTGGCCATATCTGGCCATATCTGGCCATATCTGGCCATATCTGGCCATATCTGTTTCTAGTCATCTGGTCATCATCTGGCATCATCTGGCCTTCTCATCCGTCAAGACATCGATGTTGGCCGTGGCTTCGTCACAGAGAAGGATCCGGGGAGGCGCCCAATCGGCCAGGCTGCAGGGCCGACTGGGCACCAGGACCCGCGCCAACGTAATCAGTTGCCGTTCGCCCACGGAGAAGTTCTGCCCGGCCACGTCCACGGTGAAGTCCAAGGTCTCCGGCAGCTGCCGCACCTTCTCTTCCAAACCAACGACCCGCAGACAGTACCACAAGACCTCATCAGAAATGCCAGAAACATCAGCTGCATCAGAAGCTGCTCCAGCTCCATTTGCTTCGCTTCCTTCAGTTCCCATGGTCAAATTCTGTCTCAAAGAGCCCGAGATCAGGAAGGATTCCTGGGAGACCACACGGACCTTGGCGCGCAAGGTCCGGAGTGGCAGCGTGCTGATGTCAATGCCATCGATCAAGACACGGCCAGACGCCAGGGGATAAAGTCGGTTCAAGACACCTGGCTGCAGAGAGGATAGGTCACTGATCCGCGACTGATCCGCGACTGATCGCAACTCCAAAGCCCAAAAAATGTCTTGTTTTCTCTGGGGGGTGGGAGAATCTAACCCAAGAGACTTAGTTGTCTCATATGTCCACATCTGAGGCCCTCAAATACCGCAATGAGATAATTGTGACAACATATTACATCCCACCGCACTCAAGAGTTGTTCCTTTTTCATACCAAAAACTTTTCCACTGCAAGACATGGCAAGACACTGAAGAGGGAGCTCTTCCCACAGCCCGTTCGACCACAGAAGGCCAACTTCGATCTGCTGGGAATCTTCAAGTCGATGCCCCGCAGAACCAGATCTCGATGGAGGCGATAGCGCATTGTGACCTTGCCGATCCCGGGGCCAACAAAAACAGTGGGAATAACGACACGGAAAAACCTGCCAGTGTATTACAGAAAAAAGTGTCTTCCAAAATACAAGAAGCAGGGTGCCAAATATGTCTCCATTTACACCTCAGTAATTAGTTTAATCAGGTTAATCCTTTAGTCCAAGTTGGATCCCATATTGATTCCACTTGATTCACATCGATTCACATTAAACTAGTGTTAAAATGAAATAGCGAAAATCCCACCCGGACCACACGTGAAGCTTGATCCAGCTTGCCATCTGCCTAGCTACGGCTTCCAAGGTGACTTCGCCCTGGGGCCAACTGTCATCCACTGAGCCACTTCCTTCGGTTTCACCCTCCAATCGCATGTACTCCGCAACACGTTCCACAGAGACAAACTTCGTCTCCACATCTGCTGCACCCATCCTCAACACGGACAGAGACGTGTCATGAAAATTTGAGACCTGCATGGCCACATGAAATCATGACAAACAGTGATTCTGGATGATCTGGATGTGTGAATAAAATCAGGAGAAAACAAATATTAAAAAACGAAAAAGACATATTGAGTGCATTAAAATCATTTAAAATCATTCAATGCATCCAAGTCTCATGTAGTCCATCATCCCTCTCTGCAGCTGTCCGGAATACAACAGAACGAGGCCCATATGTCCAGCGGGCATCTGCCCTCTGCGGGACAGTTCCACGCAAATAAAGGCCGATGCACAGTAGAGCACACATCCCCACTGCGCGGTCAAGGCTTGTGCCCATTTCTTCACGGCTTCATTTCCATAGAGTCCTTGAGACATGACGCCAATGTTCTTCAAGTTCTCACGCTGGAAGCGGGCCTTCCGAGATATCGAACCAATCAAGAACCAATCAACCATTGAAGTTTCTACCGTCAATCCTTGTGCCTGACACTCACATGAATCGATTGAAAACTCGATTTTCAAGCGCATGTCTATCCTAGTCCCAAATTCCATCTTCCCACCTCTGCACCAAAGGCTCTCACGGTCTCCCGGCCGTGCAAGGTATCGTTGAAATGCGCATAGACCGGGCTTCGCGCTGCACTCTCCAAACGTCTGCTGTCTCGGTTGGGGATCCGCATCCTTCGGTAAATCATGGAATAAGGCACTGCCAGCACCGGCAAAGTGCAAAGCACCCAAGGTGCCTCGATGTAGATCAAAGAGAGCTGGGTCACGATGTTCAAAGTCTTCATAATCTGATCCGAAATGCTATTGGGAACAAAGTTGTCGATGTTTTGCAAGTCTTGCAGAAATCGATTCAACACTCTCCCCGTGGGCGAAGAATCGAAAAACGACATGGGTGCAGCCAGGATCTTCTGCAGCATTTCCTTGTGAATGGTACGTGAGGCCGCCAATGCACACACCGTCAGAAGGATGGCTTGGACACAGTTGGATAAACTGGTTGAGACCGAAATGAAGAAGTAGATGAGCACATTACGTTCCTGATCCTCTTCTGTCCCACTGGTCCATTTGGCCAGCCACAGAGTGGACATGATTTGGCTAATGGCACTGAAGACCATCAAGACCAGCATCAAAGAAATTACTGTGATGGAACCGAAGGCCTTCAAGTAGACCTTTCGGCAGGAGCTGCGGTGAAAAACTGCAAAACAAAAGATCAAAAGAACGTTTTGATGTCTATATAAATTACTAACGTGTTTCATAATGTTTTTTTTTAAACATCCCATCATATCCCATCCCATTGACCCATGAAAACACCTGGAAAAAGAAGAATAAGTACCAGAATAAGTACCACTCCTGCGCCACACAGCATACCATACCACGGCCCAATGGCGAAATTTCATAAATTTTCTCCAGCCTTGAAGTCGGGCCATGAAATCGCTCCGTCTCGGATCAAATCCATCTGGATCTCAGCCTCGCCACTCATGGCCTGTCGAACCCGCTGGATCAGCATGGGGTCAATCCTTCGGCCATCGAAGGCCGCCAGGACCGAAGTCAAGGCATCTTGACATTCGCGGAGCGAAACCTGGTGACCCAGGTGGATTCCAAGGACGCCACCATGGCCGTGGCTGGTGATATGATTTCCTGCTTTGGCAGTCGCTGCTTCCTGAGCCTCGGCTTCCTCAGCTTCGGCCTCCTCTTCTTCCTCCCAAGCTTTCACAAGGCTTAGGAAAGCATCACCGCTATGAGCCAATTCTGCCCAGGAGCCTTGCAACCAAATCTGTTGATCCTTCAACAGGATCACGGTATCCACTTCTGGCCGTGACAGGTATTGAATTTGATGACTCACCAAAATCACAGTTTTTTTCATCTTCAGGAAGCCTTCAATGAAACATCTTTGCCAAATGAAGCGTGCCGTATGCGCATCCACGGCACTCAGGACATCGTCCAAACAAATCACATCCGCATCGGCATAGATGGCTCGAGCCAAGGCCACACGGGCCTTCTGGCCACCTGAAAGTTGTACCTTGGAGATTGGAAGAGATTGGAAGAGATTGGAAGAGGAAAAAAAGTTGAAAGAGTCTGAAAGAGGCTGAAAGAGGCTGTCAGTGACACTTCTTGGCTACTTATCCAATATCCAACATCCTTCAACTTTGGGCGATCTTGGAATGGCCTGAGGTTCGCACGCCACTTTCACCCACCAACGTCGCATCTCCATCGGTCAAGGTCTTCAAATCATCCGGGAGCGCTGACATTTCGAGTGCAGAGTTGTACCTTTCCTCATCCAAGGGCAATCCGAAAATGATGTTCTGCCGAACAGTTCCGTTCAGCAGGAAAGGTTTCTGCGGAACATACGCGCGCCGACCTTTTGTCTCACAAAAACCATGCAATGCAGGGCGTGCACAAGCCAGGGATGCCAGCAAAGTGCTTTTGCCGCTGCCAACGGCTCCTGCTATCATCACAAAGCTGCCTGATTTCACTTGGAAATTCAACTTCTTCAAGACACGGGTTTCCACCAGCCCTGATTCCGTGGCAGCTCTGTAACCAAAAGTTGCATCCCTTACATCCACCACATCTCTGGACACCAGAGCGATAGGAGCACCATGATTCTGAGTATCAAGCCACGGTTCTGCTCGCCACCCAGGGAGCACCGCTTCATGTTCACTGGTTCCACTGCTTCCATTTGCAAAAGAACCAAGGGCAGAAGCGGCAGAAGCGGCAGAAGGGCTATCACGGTGATCATTTCTGCCGTTGGCGGACATGGTGGACATAGTGGACATCTCTCGATCACCTTCTCCTCGCTCCAAATCAAAGTGACGTCCACCCGCAGCGCTCGAAGTAAAGCTGGAGATGGGAGCAGTGAGAAACTCGTCGATCCGAGTGACACTGGGCTTGAGATTGGCAACCTTCAAATGTGAAGACACAGAAGAAATGGGCAAGTGAACATACACAACTGGTCTAGTTTGTGCATTGCGGGGGTGTTAGTGTGTGCAGGTCAAGACTGAAACCCATGTGACATTCTTTTTGTTGCACATAACATGACATAACATGACATAACTCTGCTTGAGATTGGCAACCGCATTGTAAACGCCCGGAAGCGCTTGCACTGACCATTGCAAGGTTGAAATCCAAGCCAAAGCAGTGAAAGCTGTCGCCTCAGACATCAGGACATATTATGACTTCAGATTTACTAGTACATCTAGTACGGGCTTCTTAAGCTGGAGCTGGAAATTGACAATTTGACTCCCCTCCTTTTCTTATATAAACACTTCTCCCGTTCTAGTCAGATAAGTCAGATGTTTGTCAGCATCATTTCAACATATTTCGACATTTTCGAGGCCAGTTGCGGCATCCAAAGCCTTTCGATTCACCAGGGTGTACCACGCGAAGACCGTCACGGGGACCATGACGCTGAGCACCGATCCCACCAGCGAGTTGAAGGCCGACAAGACCCGGACGCGGACCACGGCGCGCATCTCAAGGTCCCGGGCCTGGGAAGGACTGGGCGATTCACAGTGTTTCGACATGAGAAACATATATGGATAGAACATGATAGAACTGATAGAACTAAAATTTCTGATACGTCTCGAGTCTCAGGAATAAGGTTTTTCAGTGCCTTCTGTTTGACTTCCAACCATTCCAACCCGTCCATCTGGCTACCATCGGCTACCATCGAGTATGTGCCTCCGAAATGCGTTGGTGCCAGATGGGTTCCCAAACCTGCGACACGTCGAGAGAAACTCGTCCGAGTAACTAAAGCAAAGTACATTGTCATGTGTCATTTATATATATATGTGTGTGTGTTATCATTATTATTATTATCATTATTATTATGATTGTTATTATTATTACTGCTATGGTGATTGTTATTATTTGTGTCTGGCAATTGTTGGAGCTCATGATCTCAAGTTGTTGCAATGTTCTGAATCCAAAAACGCATCATGCAATATCACACAATCATACTACAAACATACTGCACTGCACTAAACTCTATCCAAGGGCCTGCAACTTCACTGTTCGAATGCCTCGCACCATTTCACTCATCAGCCGTGCCCGTTGATCACGACAAGTCTGCACAATCCGGGTGTAGTGTTGCAGGCAAAGGCTCAGAGATCTTGAAGTCGTCGCTCCCAAAATGATCATCGTCAGACCAACGAAAGCCGCTGAGCCAACTAAGCCATAGAGGAAGTATGCCAGCACTGGCAAAGAAAGGAATGTCCAAGACCATTGCGACAATTGGAAGATTAGAGCTGTCCACTTCCCAATCTTATCTGCATCTGTTGCCATCAAGTTAGAGATTTTTCCAATGTCCAGCGCATGGTCAGGAATCCAAAGGGATTTTCGAAAGATCGAATGGACCAAGACTGACCGCACGTTGTTCTGCACACGCAGTGACGCAAAGAAACAAATCTCCATACAAGTGACGCGGAAGAGCATTGAAAGGCTCAGTGCACCAACCAAGAGAAACTGTGTCACAATGCTAGTGCTCTCGGTGTGCCGTGTGCTCATGTCCTGCACAGCATTCAACAGCACCCGTAGCATCAAAGGGTCAATGGTCATGAAGAATAGGAAGGTCCAGCCATGTAGGAGCGAGTAGAGAAAGACACGCCACTGGATGCTCCAAGAAATGGAACGCAACAGCCGGGCACTGTCTTTAACTCCATGGCCTCTCTGTCCCTTCTGTCGTTTCCAAAGGTTGGCACATCGTTCGAAGAGCAGTTCAGGTTCGTCGGCATGCGGCAGCTGTGGAAGATCTGGTTGGGTCAAGCGGCCCTTCTCGTTGGCGGAACGAATGCTGGGCCAAACCCACCAGAAGGTGTACCTGGAGGCACTGACAGGAGGAACGCCTACCTATCATAAAGGTCATTTGGAAATCTGTCGGCAACAAAATAGCATGAAGTAGTGTAATAACAAGTATATACTGTATATATATATATATATAAAGTACATATATATATATATTATAATATGTATATCTATTTATTTATTTGTTTATTTATTTATGTTATCATTATTTATCCACACCCAACCGGCCTGCCCAAGCACCAAACAGCATCTTCCGGGGCCTTCAGAGGCTCAAACATGCTCAAACGAGCATATCAAGTGATATCAAGTGGATCTGACTTCGCTCCAAAGAGTCGTCCCGTCGTCCCCGCCTTCTGCGTCGGCTGATGTCTTAACCACGGCTCAGCTGTGCCAGGATCCATGATTTGAACCAACTTCCGAAGGAGACGGACGTGGGGGGATGATATGTGAAAATGTAGATGCGCAATTCGGGCATTCAAATTACAATGGAAATACCAACAACTACGCCATGACGCCATGGTTAAATCATGTTCAATCTTCAATAGCAAAGGGCAGGCAACCTCTTGACATTTCTTCCGGCTCATGGCTGTCCATAGCTATGCCATAGCGGACGCGCAGCGGACCTGGGGCGAGAGAGTGCCACGCCTCGGTTCCCCATTCGGTGGCCATCCCTGGCCACCCCTGGCCATCCCTGGTGGATGGTGGATGTCACGGCCGCTCAGCTTCGGGCATCTTCGGGCTGCCGAAGGCTTTAGACGGAGCCAACCTCAGAAGTGATCAAGTCACCGGTGATTTCTGGGGCATATCTGCCAAAACTGAGCCCAGCGACGGTTGCTCCTGCAAGAAAGCTGGGAAAAGAAAAAACGGCTTAGATCAGCTCTATCATTGATACATGCCTGCACTCCATCCTCGCTTCTGGCAAGTCATGCTGTCCCCTCGATATGGAATCACGTGGTCTCGCATCTTGCGTGGTTTGTTCCAAGGCGTTCCAAGGTCCCCAAGGGAAGCAGAGCATCCCAAGCTGTGCCCGTCACAACGGATGCCTTCGTCACTGGGAGGAGCAACGTTCTCGCCTCGGCCACACATCCGCTGGCCGATCCGCTGGCTGGTCTTGCAGTGAGGCCCTGGGCAACCGCACTGGAGCGCTGACATTTGCCATGCTTAAAAGGAACCTTGGTGCCAGCAGGTGCTACACATTCCGACACGGTTCAACATTCCAACACAGCCCAGAAAGCTTGAAATAAAGCTTGACATGGCTTCCGTATGTTCTGAAACCGCCCCAAAACATCCCAAAACTTTACCACAATCAATCCAGGTGGACATGATGGACACTACTCAAGTGACGAAAATGCAGCTTGGCGGCAGCAAGCTCGTTTGAGCGCTACTCCACTTGAGCCAGGCAACTGCCCTGGGTGAAATGATGACCACTTAGGAGCAGTTAGGACCCCTGAAACAAAGGGCTGAAAGACTTACAGAACTTTGCTGCAAAAACGATGAGTGAAGCTTGCAGAACGTGAGGCCATCAGGTGTCACCGATGACATCATAATTTCACCATTAAACACACCCACACCATGTCTGCAGTACTTGGTTGCAAAACGGCGCTGCCTTTTTTCATTCAAAGATCCGCAAGCACTCAATGCCAATCAAGTGGCCAATGGTGACCATGTGTGAAAGATGTCTTTGTCACACTTTCGGTGAAATATGGATGGAATCTGCGCCCTACGCGAAAGTCAACGGCGCTTGCTGTTGATCGCTTTGGACCCAACTCGCAACCTGGGACGTGTCGGACGTGTCTTCTCCGCGCCCTGAGCAAGTCACATCCCTCCACCACATTGTACGTGTTCTTTGTCAAGTGGTGCCGCTGGTGCCAAGATTCTACACAGTTCCACACTTTTTACTCATCCTATGACTATTGGTCAAAAAAATTAAAGAAGATTAAAGAAGAACATAACATCGGCAGACTGAAAGATCTGAAAGGATTCAAAACAGATCAAAAAAAATGTGTTGCTTCAACTTCTATCGACATCTCTGCGCCTCACATCCCTCAGATCCAGTGTCTTGATCCATGTAGTCCTGCAGCCGGAAAGCTGCAGCTGCAGCTGGAAATCACAGCAGGACGTCAGGACGTCCTTGTGGTCGCTGATGTGGAGAAGATCATGTGGAACATCCCAGTACTTTCCGGCGCACCGTTCATCTTCAGCCTGAAGGTCTCACAATGTCTCGCATGCCACAGCATATCGGAAATGCGTAATGGCTGATGTATGGCTGCCCGGCTGCCTCAAATCAACTAAATCAACGAAACATTCTGCAGCCATGAAGCCACATGAATGTCACATGAATGTCACATCCCATTCCAAGCCGCCGGCCCTGGGGCATCTGACGAAGCCTCGCTTCACATCCGCGTCGTAGAAGACCTGCTTTTTCTGTCGGGGCTTCACGGCTTTCACGGGTTTCACTGGCCCAAAATAGACATCCGTCCGTTATCAACCGCAAAAACCATCAAAAACCATGTGGTTTATGGATGTTCCGGTTCATCAACTCTAAGGGCTGAGGAAAAACTCAAATGAATAGGGAAACAAATCATGTTTAAATGAAAAAAGCACTAAAATAAACACCCAAAAAAAAACTAAAAACACCCAACAACAATCCAAATGGCACTGCTCTAACAGTGGTTTGGCAATATTCATATTATTCATTCTCAGCAACATTGAGAGTGATTCATAGTGATTCCTTAGCAAAACAAACATCCCTCAACATGTTTAGCTTCTTTTTAGTTTTGTTATGTTTTGTTTGATGTTTCAGTGATGTTTCAGTGATGTTTCAAGTGGTTCAGGATTTCTACATATAATCCTTCCTCTTCTGGTCTCTTCAGGTGACTGTCCCGCCTCTGAGGCCAAGTGTTGAAAACCCATTTCTTCCGGTGGCACGTGCGGTACCGGATCCATGTGGTGTGTCACCTCGAGTTCCCGGAGTTCCCGGAGTTCCCTTCGGCCCTTCAATCAGAGCACTATCCCAAGCCCAGGACGCGGTAGAAACGCCTAAAGAACCTGAATTGTCCCGAAAATCTGCAAAGCTTTGACAAAGGTTTGACAAAGGTTTGACACTTGAAGCAAGTGAAAATAGATATCATATCATGATATATCATGTAGCTAAGGTGTTCAAACCATGCCTACGGGCAAAGGCTGGCAAACGACTGCGTGACTATGCGAGAATCATTAGGAAATGGCCACCAAGCACTTGCGCAAGCTGAGTGATGCTGGTCTTCAAACATGAGGGAGCTTAAATATCCTTAAATCTTGAAATTAAGTGTTCCGTGAAAAACATAAGATTCCATATTGTTTTGATATGTTTTCCGTGGTCGAGTCATCAATGTTGTTTGATGTTGTTTGATGTACGGAACATGACAAAAACGCCGAAGATCAAAGCTGAGCAAAGGCACATCCCATCGAAGGTTCGAGCAAAGGCGGCATCACCAGGTCGAGGCATCCCGAAGGTATATCCTTCCCTGACCAGCCACCCTTCACTCACAAGATCCACCTGACACAACACAAATAAGGCACAAATAAAGCATAAAAATACATCTAACATCATCTAACACAATCTGAATTACATCCAAACGTGGAGGCACCATGGCACAATGGCGCACAGCGATCGAGGCAAATACACAGTAAGTAGTTCAATCTTTTTCAAATGAACATGCAGGCCGCACCATTGCAATCACACCTGCCACGCATGCTCCTCTCAGTCACCCTCCTCGCACATCCCAACTTTTTCATACTTTTTCCCTATCATTTTTCAGTGTCCAATTTGGGCCGGAAGCGCCAACTGCTCCGCCCAAGGAATGCCCCGTGACCTGCAAAACCGAGTCTGCAGATCAACGTGGCGACGTGGCGACATGGCGACACCGGTGCCTTGATGTGAGATCCTGCTGGGGAGCTGAGACTTGTCAGAGCATCTTTCACGCACCGTCGCAAGCTTTCCCACTCCTCAGAGGTCAACATGGTCAACATGGTCAACATGGTCAACATGGTCAACATGGTCAACATGGTCAACATGGTCAACGGCCAACAATTTGTTTCCCATGTTTTTCCTGATCCTTCTTGATCCACATGAATCCACATACAATGGCCTTTCACCTGCTCTTCACCTACTACTTTTTTGAGTTTCTCGTGTGAGTTGTTGTTTCTCGTTTTGAGTTCGGTCCAATGAATGTCCGCTCAGTGCGCAGGTATGAGCTCACATTGAGGCGGCCACAATGAGGAAGCCCTCGTGCACCTCCACAAACGGAGAAACACCGCGTACCACACAGCTTTGATGAAACCGAGGCAACCGAGGCAACCGAAGCAACCGAAGCCTTGCCATGACTTTTCCAGTCGGTGAGATTCTTCCAAATCCGCAGGTCCTAAGGCGGCTGTGACATGCAGCTGTGAGCTGAGCTGAGCAACAGCAAGGCAGCAAGGCGTGTGAAGCGTCTGAGTGTCCCAGCTTGGACCATAGACAAATAGCTCTTGGTGCCTTCGAAGCTAATGAGAGCATCGCCCTGACAGAGCGAAAAATATCAAAAAAATCCAAATCTGCAAATTTCTCCACTTTTTTCACACTTTGCTGGACCTCCCATCGAGCCACAAAGGCTTGGGTCGTCTCACCTTGACAAACCTAGCGCAGGGCCGTCGAAACGTGTCGAAACGTGCCGTTCAAACAGCTCTGATGACCCACCTTGACTGGCTTGGACACAGAGGTCAGGCATTTGCTCCCACATGTCCATGCCTGAGGGCAAAGGCACCTACGTCGTTTACATGTCTTGATGTCAATAAATATAATATGTGTATAAATAAATATAATATAATATATATATATATTATATTATATTATATATATATACATATATATATGTGTGTGTGTACTATACGATCTCTATTTGTCCACATTAATATACACCAATTGCATTGGATGAATCAATGAACATTGATGACTACAATTCTCTTCATGCCAACTGTGGCTGTTTGAAACAGCCTCCAGGGCCGCGCGAGAGCAGTATGCGGCACCCGCCAGCTGCGCCAGCCTCATGGTACCCCATTCAGCATCCAACAAACATCCTCAAACATCCGGCAAACATCACTTTACCTGTGCCAACTCACTAAATGTGCTGATTTGATCTTATTTGATAGCGCCTCACTGCAGTGTCTTCGGAGTACTCCACGCTATTGGGCCTGATCACCTGACTTCACCGACGTCCGAGAAGGGGCCGGCAAAAAGTATCCTGAGGCAAAAGACCCATGCGGTGATCAAGCCAACAAGGGCGCAAAAGAGCAGCAAACCCGCGGCCAAAGCCACACCTCAGGAGGAGAGGGAGATATTTCAGGAGGATTTTAACATATTTTAACATCATATTGCAGACTCTGCCCTCCAAATCCATGTCATGCTTTTGGCATCCCTGCGGCATCGGCAACTGTTGCATGGGGGACACTGGAAGCCTAAACAAAGCCAATGGGTGCTGTAGGAATAAGGACTTCTGAAATTTGGTCGCGTTCACAGATTTTTTTGCTTCGAAATGTCAATCACGTTCGCCCAGGTCTTTTGCCTGAGATGCTGATACATTCATTCAATCAGTCAATTACTATTTGAATAAAATTACTACGGTCCTGGTAGTGTTTTATACATATGCAATTAATGCAAGTATATCATACGTCTCTCCGTACATTTATTCACTTATTCATGGATTTGATCAGTTTGGATATACACATCACATTTCTCCGGCTGAGTTCCTGACAGCGACAGCGGCGTCTTGGTGGACGCTCAGGCACCACCAATTCCGTTTCCAGCGGAGCTGAATCCATCCCCAAGATGCCCCAGATTTCGCCAGAAAGCAATGGCCCAATGGCTCACTGAAAGCGAATCACCATAGGATCACCAAGAAACTCAAAAAACTATACATTTCTGTACATTGTTACATGTCAGGATCCTCAAAACATCTCAAGGCACTATCCATCAGTACCTTAGTTTGTCCTATACTTTGTTTTTTTCTAATGTTGACACAAATATGATACATGGATCAAATCACGGCAGTATCCCACATCAACCTACATGCATCACATTGGAACAAAATGAGTGGCCCTGGAGCAGCTTTGCATTGTAGCGGCCAAATCCCCTTTGCATAGAACCGAAACAGCTCCCGAGGAGAAATCGTGAATAATGCGCTAGTCCAACATGTCCAATATCCTGGTCGCGATTGAAACTCACAGTGTCAATATGTGTCAATCATCACAGTCAGCCCACTGGCCACGTTGCCAGTGTCGCTTTTCCTCAACACTATGTATGCGGCATGTATGCAGCGTGCTTGTGCTTACTACGTAAAAGTCACAGCTGCGCGTTGCGCGCGAGCCCTGTAAGCTTCAAGCACTAGGCCACGCTGCGAATTTGCAAAAGAGGGCTGGCTTGAAAGCACTGCACAAGTCACACGGGGCCAAGACGGGTGCAAGTTTTCATGAGTTTTTCATAGTTCTTCACTCCAAAGTTGATCTCTGACATTCTGTGACTTTGCTTTGCTTTTACTTCTGCACTTGAGGCAGAGGCCGAACTGACTCTTTGTGAGACAAAACTCCCTTAAAAGAAATCACAACAGGATCACTTCATGGTGGAGAAGGGATTACCTTGAATCGAGAAATCCGCTGCGAAATCTCGCTGCGAAATGACTGCTTTCGGTTTACGACTTCGTGATCTGACTCGCACAGTGATGTACGCTGACATGGGCCATTGGTAAATGTGATCCAATGAGCAAACAATGCAGTGCCATGTGTCTCAAATGTGTCTCAAATGTATCACATTCTCGAGGATCTTGAGGATCTTGAGGGCTTTGCTAGACTTTGCTCCTCGTCCTCATCTGCAATCGTTTCATCGTACTGTGCTTGGTCTGATGCCTTCAGGTGCACTGTTACATGGCCATCAGCTATTGGGTGAACGCATCAACACCGAGTAGCTCTTCAACAAAATATAGTTTAAAATGTTCTAAAAAATATATCTAAAGTTGTTTACCTGTTGATGTCTGCTGCACTGTTTCCATTCGGCCAAGGTTGCACCTCTTCATATCGGCGAGCAGTGGAAATCAATCCCTTCCGCGAAATCATGCCCCGAAACCTGTGCAAAGTGCATCACAGTTTGACCGCAATCAGGAGGACTTTGAGACTTAAACCGTCGCACTCGAGCCTCTATGCACCAACACATGTTGCAAACATGGTATGTGGGAGAAAATCTTCTACTAAGTTTCTTCATGTCTTTTCCATTGGCTGTATCAAACGGATACACCCCAAAAGAAATTGACTAGCAACTGGAGTCCGGAAAATTTGAACATGGTTCATAGTCTGAGTCTCAGGGTAAACGAAGCACGTCTACCGCTACATTGGCAAGTATGCTAAGCTGCTAAGCTATGCAGTGACATCTGAGGCGTGAACTGGCCATTTTCGCTGATGACGCAAGCAGCTTTCGCTCCAGCCTGGCCAACAGTCTCTCACACATATGTTCAAGTCCAAAATGCCAATGAACAAATCCACGAAACACGTGTAACCAAAATTAACCAAACCCAAACATGTTTGACCCATTTTTTACCTGGTTTGAACACCCTTGACTCCTCGAGGTTTTGAACACAGCGACACAGCTGAGTGAAGTCCTTGGCAAAGAGCGCATATAAGCGCGGCCCAGGCATGTCCTGACCGAACCCCCAAAAAAGTGAAACCAGCAACAAATAGCAAAAGTATTGATTGTCAGATATTGTCGGATATTCTATTGTGATCAAAACACATGGAAGAAGGAAGTGGATGAATGAAAACGATGGAATTAGATCAGCTTGGTGCACACGCCTCCAGGATTGTATATGGAGCACGCTCTGTGAGCCGCTTCACTGGCAACACGTTCCCGGAAAAGCTGGACTCCCTGGCAGCTTGGCATTTTCATCTGGCCGACAAGAAATTCAGAGCAAGCTGTGATAAGCCAAGCTGTGTGCCTTGCAACTGTAGCGGAAATCCACTTGCCCATCTGCTCACCCCCAGCATCCGAATTCGCCTGCAAGAAGTCTAACATCAATTTCGAGACTGCTACAGGCTATAAGATCTATAAGCCCCAATAAGTACAATCTAAGTACAATCTAAGTACAATCTAAGTACAATCTAAGTACAATAAGGGTCAGTGAGCTACACATGAGCTGCACATGTCCAGCTGGGCGCCGCGCCTTGGGTCTGGGTACTCCAGGTGGATGTTCCACGAAGCCCGTGGCCTGCCACACCTCCAAAGCTGCTTGAAGACGTGCCCGGGTCGTGAAGCCTTGGAACATGGAACATGGAACTGGCGAAATCACCCAGGATTTCAACACAAAATTTCAGCGCAGAACGGCCCTGGAAATGGAAATTCTCTGTGTTCAATGTTGGATGGAAAAAGATGAAAAAAAGGACAAATAGGACAATACATTCAGCATCCTTTCAGCATCCTTTCAGCTTCGTGGGATCTCATCTCGTTTCCACTTCCGACATCGGGAGATCGTGGAGGTGAGGCACCGATGCAGATGTTGTCCTTCAAAACAGGAAAGCAGTCCACCTGCAACGTCAAGCTGAGATGTTGATGCGGCATGTCTGCAATATTTGAGAGATATCAGAGATATCATGATGTCCAGAGAAGTTACATAAGAGCACAAATTGGTTCATGAGTGTTCATGGTTCCACATCCTCGGGCATAGAATCGGGAAAGAATGACCAGCAAAACTGGAAGTCGCTAAGAATGGCCTTGTCTTGTTGAAGCGCGGCCTCAATGCTTCGGTAGTCCGCCTCACGATCAGGAAACAGCGATTCCGACTAGGAAGCACCCATGAACCAATCTATAGTTCCAAGTCTTCAGGACAACACGTGTTTGCATGAAGCAAATCATCAGGATGTCAGAAAGGTTGTGAACATAAACTTTTACAAAATTAAACGGATGTTTAATTGGTATTGCTGGGTATGACAGCTACATTTTCTTCAAAGTTTGATTGCTGATATGATATCTGATATCTGATAGTTTTTTGCTCCCGCTTGCAGGTATGATGATACAAAAATCATGTTTAAAGTTATTAACAATCATATCATCCTATCATCATCATCATCATAAAAATAAATTATTGTTATCTCATCATATCTCATCATATTCTAAAAATCCTCAGATCTCAGAAAAAACAGCCCAACCCGGACGCGCCTCGGGTTCCAAGGTGGCTTCGCTGGGCAGGTCGTCCCGCAAGTCCAAGGCCACCACGCGGTCCATCAGCCGAGGCGGCTCCGGCTGGCGCCAAAAACCACTGGTTGGAACCATAGGGATCCAAAAAAAAACACAAAAAAAACACACCAAACACCATAGGATTTCGATGGATTTTGGTCAAATCAGCATAAGCTACAGATTCTGATCAGATATATCACATCTCTGATTCTGATATGGGGATGCCTTCTGATTGAAAGCAACAGATCTACAGCTGATTGAGTTTGATTTGCACGGAAGTTGACCGAGTGTTCCATATGTCACATGAGAAGCAAGGCGGAAGGCACCGGCAAAAATGGGATTGCTTTTCTGAGGATTTGTTCCTGGCCACAAGCAATGCAGAGCTGCAGAGCACTGAAGTCACCAAAGGCCACATCTAAAATCAGAAATCTCATGGCAGATGCCTCATCGAAACCTCTTTCGTTGATCAGCTTGTTCAGCAGCAACGAAATGGTAACCTTATTAAAAAGAATGTCTTTGCCAAACCCCCTCAAGGCCCTTACCCTGGTCTTTGCACTTCAGAGAATTCATGACATTTAGCTTATTTTGACGATTTCTGTGTCTTCCAATGCTGATTCTCCATGACCAATTGAAACAGCCATGTCTGTTAAGGGCAAGACAGCCAACATCAACGGAGGAATGAGGCCAAGATCATTGGCAGCTCCTGCAAGCCACGGAGGGTACCAAGCCACTCCGAAGAGGACATAGGCACAGCTAGGATTCAGAAATTTCATGAAATTTCCACACCCGAAAGTGTCATGCTGAGTGGTCCTGTGATGAAAACCACCACAGCCACTGCCATCTGTTTGAAGCCGGCAAGCATCGAGGCACTACCAACCATTGCATAGACACCAGACCTCAGCGCATACCATGATACAACATATACAACCGAATCAAGGAAAAGTCTATAGAGTCTGAAGAAGCGAACATCCTGTCACCCAACTGACAATCCCTGCACTATAGTGACTGAGGAATGGGCACTGCCATTCCAGGACCATAGTCTCGGACTAGAGCACCCATCATGCGGCCAATGAGCCTTGGCCCGATTGTCCGATTTGAAGCATGAGAGAATCAGAAACATTCAGAAACCATATCAATTTTCACACATGCTTACCGTATTACCAGAAATGGATGGTAAAACCGGTAAAACCTATATTCTATAAACTATAAACATATATACACTATTATACACTCCCAGTGCGTGGTTGATTATTTGTTAATTCTGTTTATCCTTGTCTCTAGCACTCTATCCCCAGCCTTCGAGGCTTTCGAGGCCTTCAAGGCCTTCCTGAGCTCCCTGCCCGCCAATGAGCATCGATCCCGTGAAATTCCCCGATGGGACTGGCACTCCTGGAGCAAGTTCCGGCAGTGACTGGCGGCTCATGGCTGGCATCACACCCACTGTCACACCCATCGCCTGTCAGTCCAATATTCAGGCTTGTGTATGACAAAAAGGCCAAGAGCTCATTCCTGGAGAGCATGTGCGATCTCAGTTGTGGTTTCCTACTCTCACTTCTGCTGTCGCAAATCAAGTCTGACACATGTCAGAGGCATCAACTGTATGCTTGCAATGGCTCAAAACTCATTCCCCCATCCCTTTGGCCTAAAATGAATCTCGTTGGCATCATGCCTCAGGGCACATGTTCGCTCTTCCCCGGCTGTGTGGACTGACCGGCACCGGTGTTATTGGCCCGCCTCGAAAAGAGCCGCTTAACGGCACCCTCTGAGGTGGTCAACAGGAGAGAGGCCACTGGATTGTATTTGCCTTCCTTCAGAGCAACCCACAAGAGCAGCTGTGTCAAAATATGTCAAAATCATGCAATGATTCGGGTGAAAACACTGATGTCCCCAGATTTGTTTTGACGAGGCCTCGCAATCATAGCGCACAAACTGAACTGCATCCTGCGCCGTATGCTTGCAATTGGCCTCAGCCGTTGCTCTGAACGTCTTGTAGCCAACAACATGGCACCAATGGCACGGCGAGACATGGATCTGAAAGGACCCGGCTGATAAAGCCACAAGAGAATAAGTCCTCAGTTTTGAGAATCTGTGGCACACCCCACAGTGAGAACTACGTCCAAAGATGATCAAAGATGCTACAGCTGCTACAGTGCTGCCGAAGGTCAATGCAACGATCCCTCCATAGAGAACTGCATCCGCCATTTTGTTGAAAGGTTCGTACGAGGACAACCTCTTCATCACGCTCTGCCTCTCAACAGGTTGTGCAGAAACAACTCAAAAAGAATATGATGAATATGTATAATATACATAATTACATAATTATAACTTAATTATATATAGTATATAGACTAGATATCAAGTGTGTCTAAACACTGCAAAAATATGTAAAGGAACAGCAACGGAAACAGAAAGAAACAGCTTTACCGACAGCTCCGACCGTGGGCCTGGCAGCAGCCACCGCCAAACACGCTTTGGTGTGGAAGGCACTGAAAGGGCCAATCATCACCGCCTCGGCGTCAACGTCAACGAAATCACCGAGCGACTCCATCCCATTGACCCATTGACCCGTCCCAGCGACAGCACAGGGCTGAGATTTTGATTCTCCGCTCACGGCGATGTTGGGCTGTCACTCTTTGGCGCAGCCCAGTCCGGATAGATCGATTCGAGTTCACACATGAAGCCTCGGCAGCTTGGTGCTGGGCACATGGGGTGCAGTGGTGCTGAGAAAACCAAAGACATCCAAAGACCCCCAACGTCCTCCCAGCACTACCCCAGGCTCTGTCCAACATCCATCAAATCCATCAAATCCATCAAATCCATCAAATCCATCAAACATCTAGCAAAAACTTCATATGCCTTCGCGGCTCAGAAGCAGAATTCGCGTTCCTTGTAGAAACTCCAGTGCCCTTCCAGCACGAAACCTTCCTGTAGAAGCTCACCCAGGCCTTGCCAGCAGAGCTGGTTTTTTGAGAATAGCTTACGACGTTTTACGACGTTTTAAAGACGTCACCTGGCCTCCATCAACTTCCCAAAGGACCACATCCCCCTAGGCCAAGTGGATCCAAGCGGATCCGGCTTGACAAATCTTGATGTCAACAATGTCAACATGTGTCAACTGAAAATTGCAATGCGACAAGATGGAAATCAATGAATCAACATCCACAGATATCCACAGATATCCACAGCAATAGAAATCCAAAAGCCAACATATTTCGGCATTTGATCTCGCCTGCGCCATGTGCTGACACCCTCAGCATACGGGGGTGACAGTTCAGTACGCAAACACATGCAAGAATTGACAATGGGCTAGGCTGCATTCAGGTGGCGCAAAGCGCTCAAATGCACGATGCTCAAGGCCTAGCATCACGGAATGCCATTCTATCCATTCTTATTGTGACAATTTGTGACATTTCTATGCCATTTCTATGCCATTTTGTACCATTCTGAAATCAATCTCGTGTCATCTTAGTCATCTTGTGTCTATTCATCACTTCGCGAGAACCGTCAACTCGCGAGCACCGGCATCTTCACCACGTCTTGCACGGTGAAGGAGGCACTGAAAGAGCTCGAAGAATTCCCGTCCGTGGCGGTGAGCGCCTGGTCATGAAAGCTCCTGGCCTCAATTCCTGGGAAAGAAATCCTTCTATGCGTAACTTATGGAGAACGCACAGTTTTAAACTAAAACACTTGAAGGTTCGAAATAGAGGAGTGGAAACAGTGGTTTGCCTGTGAAAACCTGACTTCTGACTCACCTGCATGTCGTTCCATGACACGCCATGCCGCGACTCGAACAACGCTTGCCCCTCTTGCGAATGCCATGGGTTTAGGCCTTGGTTAGGATCCGCTTCCTAGACTTCCCACAGATTTTCAATCAGTAATCACATTTCTATCAGCATAAGTGGATGAAATTGGGGGAAGTCACGAGGAAGTTGAAGCAAATAGGATCATGTTGGATCACCGTCTGTGACCCCCAACGCTGCATCTCTTCATCCAAATCCTGACAGCCACGCAGAGCTCGCGCATCATTCAGTGGACCAGGAAGAAGACGCTGAAGATGATAACAGGCTGGAAGACTTCCTGAGGATTTTTCATGTTTTTTCTCACTCCAAGTCTGTCAGAAGTCCGTCAGAAGACACTGGAGTCTGTGAGAAGAAAATCCAAAATGCTGAGGAAAGCACTGACGGCTTTACCACAGGCAGTGTTGATATCCTGCAGGGAGGGGCAGATATAATTTAAAATTTAAAAGATAATTTTAATAATGTATGTACTGTATGATAATGACATGATAATGACATAAGTCACAACATTCTCACAACTGCATTGAATACTCATCCCCTCCTGCCAATCTGCAGGGCGCAAACCATAGATCTTTGCTATGGTCATGACCATGCGAAGTGCCAGCGCGGAAGCAGCTGTGAGGTCCGCATCAACGCTCTGCCGATCATCCTGCCACAGAAATGCCCCGCAACTGACAGCCAGCTTTGATCAGGCGAGAACCGCAAAAAGATCAGTTGTGAAGAATGCCATCATGCCTCACCCAGAATTTTCTGAAAGACCTGGCATGCTGCAGCTGCAAGGACAAATGAGAAAGAAAGAAAAACACAAATGGAAAGGACCTGATCTACAACTTTGCTTGCCACAAAAAAAGGAAAAGACTGGTTCATAAGTATGACATGGAAGCTATAGCACAGAGTTGAGCTCACTCTGTTCAGCAGGTTTTAATATATAATATATATATATACAGTATATGTTTCGAGTTTTCGATTCGCCTCATGGTCAAATTCTTTGACAAGGAAACGCCCCAGGAAGTCTTGGATATTCAGAAGTGCGTCGCTGCATAGCTGCACACCTTGGTCACTTGGCAAAGAGTCGGCAAAAAAAACGCATGGGTCGAACATGGCAGAAGCTCCTGAAATCATGTGAAATTCATGGAATTTTGGCATCCAAGATACTGTAAGCAGCTTCAAACCTGCAAGTCGCAAGATCTAAAAAGAGCAAACACCAAACATCATCAAACATCATCAAACATCCGGATGCATCACTTCCCCGCATCTTTGCCCAGATTTTTCGACGAGGGACATGTCCAGCAGCAGTCGGCTCTTCTCATCGACCTCCAGCAGCTTCCGCAGGCGCTGCCAGTCTTCGGGCTCAGCGCTGCCAGGGCTGCCAGGGCTGCCATCTCCTTCCAAGGCTCCTGTTGAAGTGGATGAAAGTACTATGAACAACCTGTGGCGCAACCTGTGGCGCAACCTGTGGCGCAACCTGTGGCGCAACCTGTGGCCATCCTGTTTCATCTGGTGGATTCTACATTGTATTGTGCCTATTGTGGCTATTGCCTGTGGCGAATGAAATCGTGCACAGAAGCAACACATGTGGCTGCACGATGCCACGATGCCACGATGCTCAGTACAAATCAGTCCTGGATCCGGCTCCACTGGCTCCATGGCACCAGATGTGGTTCCAAGATGTTCCAAACTGTGACTCCGTACGGTTACTGTGGGGCTACGAAAGAATCCGTTGACCGAACTCGACATGCTGGTTTCGCTGCCGGCTCAATGCGTTCTCTTGGGAAGTTCACAGATCTCACTGATCTCACTGAAAATTGTGGAAACAGGAAATAAATAATTAAATATATATATATATATTTATATATACAATTATATAAATTTTACATGACACTGTAGCAAACATGAGCCAAGGCTTCTAAAGCATCAGATTGAAAGAGCTTCCATGCCATGCTTGTTCCCACAAATTGATTTGAAGCGAAGTGAAATGTCAAGAATTGCCAAGATCCTCGCCAGTAGAATGAAGAAAGGCACATCACGCCTGGCACAAAACCATACAAAACCACGAAAACTTCCCGGAGCCACTGGAAAAGAAATAAATGGAATTCTATGACCAATCAACATAACACCCAAAATAGCAAAATGGTTTCCATGGAATTCCACTCAAATTCGTGTTTGGCAAAGCTCCATATACCGCCTACCAATGATATACCAATGATATACCAATGATATACCCTGCATCGAGCGGCACCAGCTCCAACCGGTCGGCTGTGGATTCCATTCGTAGATCACAAATGCCTCGCAGATGTCACCGCTTCGTTACCGCTTCGTCTTTCCAAATGCTTCACCTCGTTTCACCTCGTTTCACCTTCAATTGTTTCGCAAACTCAATTTGAATTTCATGGTTTGATAATGTTTTATAATTGATAATACATTTATAATTTTATAATACCATTTACCATCATTTACCCTGTTGGACCAACCATAACCAACCCATTTCCACCTCTTTGAACTTTTTGGCTGACATCTGACAACATCTGACAACCCTGTCGCAGCCACGCCTTCGTGGATGTCCCACACATGTTCAGCAGCGCGCGTGACACCAACGCACAAACGGACGTGCCCGCGAACGCGCGAAAGGTGACCTGAACAGCGTTGCAGGGCACATGACACAGTGTCTTATGTGTCTTATGTGTCTTATGTGTCTTGCATCTTTTCCAATTTTTTCCAATATACATCACTGACATCATAATCATAATAACATGTTTTCAGGGTGTGTGACAGGAGTACGTTTAAAACATGTTTCCTTAAGTTTCCTTAGTAATTCATTGACGGGCCTCCACTGGCCAGGATGAAGAGGTGATCTCTTCGAACATGTACACCTCAGCGTTGCGGTGTCGCACGTGTCGCACGTCACAGGCACGTCACAGGCACGTCACAGTGACACCATGTGCAGCATACGATGCACTCATTGACGGTCTATCGATGTCGATGTCTGTGGTCTTCTTAGGTTCTCACAATGCCACCGATGGGAGAGTCGAACAACATGGCCTTGGCAGAAAATCACCTAGGAAGGTCCTATTTCAGCCCTTGCTGAGCCTCTGAGCCTTGCATAGCCTTGCCACATCCGAGGCTGCTGCCATGCCGCATGCACCCCCGACGGTGCACACGATACGCTTTGCATGTTCGAAGCGATCCTGGCTCAGTGCGGAGATGGCAAAATCTGGATGCGATGATTATGGCCCTATGGCCCCTTATGGCCCTTATGGCTGCGCCGTGGATATTGGGCCATAGCACAGATGTGCAGCTGAAAGCATCCAACTGCCCTGCATCTGCCCTGCGTGGCTCTGCCTCATCGATCATCGTCGCCGCAGATGTTGCAGAGCCTGGTGCATCCACATCAACCCACTGGCCTCAGGTTCACCGGGTTCACCGAGTGATTGTCGGGACGATGATTGTTATGTTCATGGTAGAATCACCTAGACCCAGACCATGGGATGATGGGTATGGAGTTGTGCTGTCGAAGCATTGCTGGATTCATCCTATCCGAGCTCCAAGCGAACGAAAGGCAACGCCGCAACGTGCGTAATGAGATAGGCCAAGTTGCTCCCCATCGTCACCTTGGCAGAAAATCACAGAAACTGGCAGAGCTAGTCTACAATACACCCAAACCTGGGCCCTACAATGGTCCTACAAGCCGTTTTGTTGCTGGAGAACACTGGGGCTATTCCAACACTCTGCTCTTCGCAGATATTGCATCTTTATAGTATCTCAGTATCCCAGTCATATCCTCCCACGTGGTCAAGAGCAACAAATTTGACAACCACCGAGTGTGAAGAGATTCAAACAAAGCGTTCTTTCCAGGTAGCTTCTGACAAATGAACTAAAGTAACTAGAATAGGCTCCAGCGCAGCAAAATCGTGAACAAAAACTGTGCCCATCAAGAAGGCCGTTGCAGAAGAGTGTTTACAACTCCCGCTTTCTGGCGCACCAAAAGGCTGAGACATGCACTGTAGGCCCCTCACGGCCAACAGGATAGCCTGTGACCTGTGAGCAGAAGCATTCCGACCACCCATCGCCCATGAAAATGGTCACTAAAAATGGCCCTACACTACACCACATATCTCATTTGGCGCAGCAAAGAACACCTTGATACATTTGAAGATCCTTGATCCCTGAGAGCTTCGCATTTGCCAACATCGTCGCAATGGCTCTTCCAATCAGATTCTGGAAGGTAAACAGCTCTGGAATTTCATTCCTGGGCCGCATCAAATGGAAAGGAACGTCCTCCTGTCAAAATGCCTTCACCCAATCTTCCTCCGGTTCGATCCTCCGTTATATATACATGATGCGGGTCCTTTGTGGGGCCTTTGTCAACGAAAGAGTTCACATGGTCTTGCGCAAGAGGCCTAATGTGCGTAAAAGTTATATACATCATTTTTATTATATACACTACCCTCCATCATTCATATCATACATTCAGAATATCTCTCCATTTGAATCTCTTGCATCGTTTTTGATCATGGTTGGTTTTGCATATCCATCCTGTTCCATTCTGCTAGCTGCTACCTCTGTGGCAAATGCTACCTGAAGTTTGAGCCCCCAACCCGTTGAGAAAGCCTTTGTTCTCAGGTGCTCCAGAACCACCCGCAGCAGGGGCGCAAGTGAAGATAAAGATTGTGCAACCTGTGATTTTGCGGCAAATTGAAGACAGTTACAGTTAGCAGAAAATCCAGACCAATCTGATTGTAGAGCACACAGTTTTGCCAAGGATATACATACTGCATAATCAAGGTTTGATTATCATCAACCTCCATCAAAGAATGAGCCAGTGTCTTTGAAGGGCACATGGCTGAGACACAAACAAAGCGCTATGCAAGAGCAAATGCCCGTGAACCTCCAGTTTACATGCATATAATATATGTATGTATATATATATATATGTGTGTGTGTGTGGAGATTTACATACATGATATAACATGTGAATCCTATAGTTTGCAATCATTGTGTGCCATTGTTAATCAACTGAGCATCGTGCCCCAGGATCGCAAACCACACACCGAGGTTGTCCACCATGAGCTGCGTCAATGTGTGGAATACGCAGTTCCACAGTTTTCCACAGTTTTCCGGCAAAAAAAACAGTCCCATGGTCCGGTGTGAAACCAGGCCTTCTGAAAATGTTCCTTTCGGGGATGCCACACTCAACCACACTCAACAAGAAAACTGCCCGACACCTGCCTGCAAGGTGCTGAATTTCCACGACACTGCGAAGGAAATGATCCAAATGGTGAAAAAATTGATCACTGCCATCGTCACCGCGGTGACCAGGGTGACGCCCCACCTGAGATGTTGGAAACCCCCAGTCAGGTCTCCCCAAGTAGGTGTTGACTCCCCCGTTTTTGTCCCTCCTGAGGCACGAACATGACTACAAACGGAAGTTTGTGTGTCTGCGGGCCACTGGTCCTCAGCGACTAAGTTGGTCTTGAAGGTCCCTATGACATCGAAAGGTTTGAGGGCAGCACTTGATTCGACGCAATCCCCGCATGGGAGTGCCTGCGAAGGAATTGCCAGGCGAGTTGCACATTCACATCATCACAAACAAGGTTGAACATCGAACATCGATGATGATGATGATGATGATGATGATGATGAAGCAACATCTACCCTCCTACCTGTTCGTAGCATTTGTCCGGACAATGTGCGTCAACACGTTGCATCTTTCGAGCTCCGCCTGACCCCGGTTTCCGTGGAGTGATGCTCTTCGCCAGCCCCAGGGCCACCAACATGTCCTGTGCCACGGGTGACACCAACTTTGATCACCTCATGGACCTACAACGCCACTTTACACCTTGTGACACCGTGTGATTCTCTATTATCTGCTATTATCTTCATGAAAACCATGCCATTATGCTTTCAAAATTGGCCGAAAAACATTGAAAAATGCCATTGGAATTCAAAAACCAAATCAAAAAGATGCGTGGTGTCGCTGCCAAGGATTTTGATCAATTCCCCCTAAACAATCGAAAATTGTGAAAACTAACCATGCCGCAAACCAATGTTATGGAAATCCAAGAATATCGCGCTGAGATGGGCCAAACCGAAGGGGACTGTCCTGGAACCATCCTTGGTCACTGAGCCCACGCGCAGTTTGCAGCGTCATGGCATCGTGTGAAACCGCTAAAGCAAAAGGATTGGCTACAAACCTGTGTTTGTTGTTGGGGTTTGCTGTGCGACCTGGCGAATACTGTGCACAAAGGTTCGTTGAAGATGCTGAATCCATTTCGTATTTCCCTTCACCGTACTTGGCAGAATATTTTTTGTTCCACTTTTCAAAAATGGACCAACAATTTTTTTGGGGGGCATGCCATGCAATTTTTTGTTTTCTCTTGCTTTGTTATCCCTAAAATAATGATCCAGCGCTTTCGAGCCGTCAAGAAAACACAATTCAAGCATCACATGAAAGAATCAAAGCGAAACTGACCATGTTGTGGAAATAACCACAATATACCTGAACATGGCAAGTTTGACCACCAAACAACGCAGCTGCACCAACAGGACCGCGCTATAGTTTCATAAAGTGTCACATCGAATCTGTCCAGAAGGCACGGGCCCAAAAGCCACAAGGCTGGAACAACAACAGTCATGGTAGAGGACTCATCTGCGCACATGAAGATGATTCCCAGACGCATCTGCGCAGCACACGCACACGAGTGAGACTCACCGCACACAGGATGGCATGTATGAGACTCCAACCTTTAGGTGTTGAAATTAAGGGAATAGGGGGGGAACAGGGGGGGAACAGGGGAACAGGGCTGGGGAAGGACAGATAAGGGAAACCAACCTCTAAGTGTTGAAATTAAGGGGCCAGAGGGGGGCCAGGGGAACAAGGGAACAGGGGAACACTTGGGAAGAGCAAATAAGAGACATCACCCTTCAGGTGCTGAAATTTGTGGAACAAAGGGGGAACAGGGGAACAGGGGAACATGATTGTGTTGGTGATCATGATGATGTTGCTCCCCGTGATGATGTTGATGGCTGGCACGATCATCATGATGCTGATGGTTATGTTGATTTTGATGATGCTAATGGCCATTGCCATGATGGTCATGATGATCATGATGATCATGATGATCATGACAATGTTGGTGATCATGTTGATGTCGACGAAAACGTTGGCCATGATGGTGGTTGTGATCATGCTTATGTTAATGATGATGATGTTGATGATTTTGGTGATGTTGATGGTTTTGATCATGATAATGCTAATGATAATGGTAATTGTTAGTTTGCGCTCCATGCAACCTTTGCCATAGCATGTTTTGCACCTGCCAGGTCTGTCTTGCACTTTTGCTAAGGTGTTTATACATGTGGCCATACCGGCCCAATTGCCACTTGCCCACTCAGGGTGGGAAACTTTCTGACCGCCAATACATGGCTGCGCTGTCTGCGCTTTGAAAAGGGCGCTGCTTTCGCAACTTGGCTGCGGACTTCGTGTGCCTCAGCTAGAGACTTGGTTTGGACCTCTGCACCAATCTCACATTGGTAGCGGAGCGCTGCCTGATCCTTGGAGCTTTGGTTCTTGGACTTCTAGCTCTACTGGGTCCTGGCTGTGGAGCGCTTCGGAAAGAACTCCTGGTTGAGCTCTACTGTTTGATCAACCCTAAGGGCATAGACCAGCTCACCTTTTTTGGAGTTCACCTTGGACGTTGTGGAGTATGGCTTCTGGATCTGCTAAGCAGGAAACCCCAGCTGATGCTACCACCCGTGACAGTTTCATCCCCTTGTTTTCGGGCCAACCTGCCGACTACAAGGAGTGGCGGAAACGAATCCACATCTACTACAGGAAGATGGGATTGACGAAAAGGAATGGAGAAGCCGTGCTGAACATCATCGGCAGTCTTCAAGGTTCGGCATGGAGACTTGTGGAAGATTTCAATTTGGATGAATGTGAAAAGGAATCTGCCTTCGAGAGCATCATCAAGCTCTTAGATGGTCACTTTGAGTATGACACCAGAGTGCAGTTGCCCAGCGACTTCGATGGCTACTTTGGACTTCAGAGAAAGCCCGGTCAGACGCTGTTGGCCTATGTCAGCGACCATGCGGAGCTGCACAAGAAACTGGAGAAACATGGTGTCAGCCTTCCGACAGCAGTACAAGGATGGCACCTACTTCGAAAGAGTGGCCTCACCAAAGAACAAAGGCAACTTGTCAATTTGAGGGCACCGCAACTTGAGCTGACAAAAGTTGTAGAAGCTATGTACCTGATTCTGGGTCAGGACTACAAGCTTGGAGCTGCCCCTGCTGGACATGACCGCCGATGGCACCGTGGGAAAGGTGGTCGAGCCTACTTTGGTGATGAGCTGGACGATGATGGCGACGCTGATGATTGGGATTGGGACTCACAGTCCTACTATGATGCCTACTGGGAATGGGATGACAATGCCAGCTTCGATGAACAAGGCTTCGATACTACCAGACTGGTGACTGGGAAGCTGAATCGACCCTTCCTGATGATGGCACTACGTCGACCTTCGATGTGGCCTCATGGGATGATGCCTATGCAGCTTACCTGGATGCAAGGAAACGGTTCAATGACCTGAAGTTGAGCCGTGGCTACTTGCCCATTGTTGCCCTTCAGGACTCCAACTTGCAGCCTGGCACTTCCTCGCCTTCAAGGAGTTCTGGCGGTGGATCGCCCAAGGGCAAGAAGGGCAAGGGAAAATCGAAAGGTGGTAAGCCCAACATGTACAAGTACGACAAGGCGCCTATGAAACCTGCACAACCACAACAACGAGCCCAAGCTGCCCTGCAATGCCTTCGATGTGGCCAGAAAGGGCATTTTGCCGCAAACTGCCCTGTCAACAACCAGAAGAGCAGCCCCAACAAGAGACCTGCTCCTGCCACTGAGTCGATGGCAAAGCATGCCGAGGGAGCCCTGGTGACCTTCATGGACAAACATGGGCATGAGCGCACCGATGTTGCGATGCTTGACCCTGGTGCCTCAGCTTTCCTTTGTGGATATGGACCCATGGGCAGGTAACACCTGCAACAACTTGGCTACCCTGTGGAAACCATTTTGTTTTACCGTTGTGATCGGAAATTTCATTTTGGAGGAGACGCTGAAAGCGTAGCCAAGTGGGTCGCCAGAATGCCAATGTTTGTGAATGGCCTCTACGGTTTTGCCCAGGTTTTCATGGTCCCTGGTGAAACGCCTATGTTGTGTGGCCGGCCAATCATACAACAACTTGGCATAGCTTTGGACTTTTCTTCTGAGAAGATCAGGTATGGTGATGGTCAATGGATGCCTGCGCTGATGGGTCTGCATGGAGAGTATCTGCTACCTCTCTCCATGGACTTTGAGATTTTCCATGCAGCCCTCGAGCCCCACTTTGACTTGCAGTTGGCCTCACCTGGCGAGGTGGACTTGAATCCTCGCACCTTCCTGGAGTTCAACGGTGAAGAGATGATTTTTCAAGCTCATGACCATGGCGATGAATGGATTTTACCTGGCACAGTCAAGTGCCAACGGCATCTTTTTCAAACCATGGATGCCCGCCTGACTGAGGAGCTCAATGACATGCATGGCTACATCACCTCCGAGCTTCATGCTGGTGATCGTGGTCGAGTGATTTGGGAAGTTTATGGTGGTCGCAGCCGCATGGCACAGATCGCCGAGAGCCTTGGAGCCACCGTGAGGGTGTTTTCTCTCGACACTGGTTGGGATTTTGATCAACCTGCTCACCAACGTGCGTTCTTGGCCTTGCAGGAGAAAGAGGTCCCTGACGAGATCTACCTTTCACCAACTTGTGGACCCTGGTCACTGATGCAAGGACTTGCAGCACGAACACCTGAACAACAGCAACAACTACGTGAACTTCGAGAGTGGCATCATCAAGTTCATCTTTGTTTTTGCAAAAAGGTGTACCTGAAGCAGATCAAGCAGGGTGGTCACGCCCATCTGGAACAACCTGCCTACGCTCGATCGTGGCGTACCAGTGCTCTTTCAAATCTTCCTGGACTCTACTGCAGATTTGACCAATGCCAATATGGTTGCACCTGCCAAGACACCGACTTGGTATGGAGGTTGGTTCAAAAGCCAACTGGTCTGCAGACCACAAAGATGGCCGTGTACAAGGAGTTCCAACGGCGATGTGCTGGTGATCATCAACACTGCCGGCTTGAAGGAAGTGGTCCTGATGTTGGACGTCGGACGCGATACCTCGAGCACTACCAGCCCACTTTAGCTTCCACACTGGCTGCCTGCCTGATGATGGATGAGTTGCCAACCATCTCTGACTTTGTTGGAGCCGCTGACGATGAAAAGAAACATGTTGCCCGCATCATCCAGTTGCTCACCAACAGCCGCCAAGAAGCTGTTCGATGCGTTCAACGTTTGCATCGGAACTTGGGACACCCGTCCATGGAGGCTTTGGTGGAAACCCTGGAAAGCCGTGGAGCGAGCGATGTGGTCTTGGAAGTGGCTCGCAACTTTTCATGTGCCTCATGTGAACGGTACAAAAAGCCCGACAGTGTGCCACCAGCTGTGTTGAACGATGTCAAGGAGTTCAACCATGTTTTGCAAGCGGATGTGATGTGGGTGAAAGTCAAAGACCGCAAGTTCCCCATTTTGAGCCTGCTTGATCAGGCCACTCGCTATCAAGCTGCTGGAGTTCTTCATGGAGAACGCTCTGAGCATTTTCTTTCAGTGCTGGAGCGCCATTGGGTGCGACACTTTGGATGCCCCAAGACCTTGCTGACCGATGAAGGCCGTGGTTGGGCCTCTGATGAGTTTCAAGAATGGGTTAGCGCTCACATGGTCGAGCACTTGGTAGCACCTGGAGAAGCCCACACTCGTTTGGCTTTGGTGGAACGCCGCCATGCTGTTCTTCGAAAAGCTGTGGAGATCTACATGGCCGATCTTGGACTTTCAGATCGCGATGGACTTCGACAGGCACTGGCCTACACCATCCCACAGCTGAACAGCTCAACTACGGTTGCTGGCTACTCGCCAAACCAATGGCTTCTTGGATATCAACCTCAACTTGCTGGCGAACTTCTTTCAGATTCACTTGGCCCAGCACACCTTGAAGGAAACCAACCCTTTGAGGAGACCTTGAAGCGTCGAGCTGCCGCTCGAAATGCAATCACTGCTGCCGAGGTGGATCGAAAGCTCAGGCGTGC